CGGTGTACATGGCCACCCCCATGGCGGGGTCCTCGACGAACTCCTGCAGGCTGCTGCGCATGGCGTCGCCAAGGCAGGCCCATGAAAATTCTGGGCCCAGCGGAACTGCAATCTCGTCGGCGAAGTTCTTCTCCATTGAGGCTCGGGCTTTCACGATCGCGTTGTCGAGCCCCTTGATGACTTCGCCACCTGCGTGTGAGGGGGATTCTGGAATCCAGGCGGTGAGGTCCGTGATGGGGTCGAACTCCTCGGCTGCTGGAAGCGTACCCACAGCTTGGCGAAGCGGCCGTACTCGGAGAGCTCACGGCGGCGAGATCCTGCGGCCGTGGCAAACATCCTTCCGTCGCCGATGATGATCACATTGCGCGAAGCGTCTACAATTTTTGTTTCTTTCTTTCTCTTTCTCTCTCTCTCTCTCATTATCTCTCTCTCTCTCTTTTTTTTTTTCTCTCTCTCTCTCTCTCTCTCTCTCTCTCTTTCTTTCTCCCTCTCTATGTTTCTCTCTCTCTCTCTCTCTCTGGGCAGCAATGCTGTCTTTGGGGCTGAGGTGGAAAGCGCAAAGAGTCAGAGAGCCCCGTGAACCATTCATGTCTAAAGCACAGCACCTGCGCCGTTCTGCATGTTCCTTGCATCGAAGGCATTGAAACTCACGCGCAACCGCTCATGGGCGCAAGCGAGAACACCGCCACTGGCCCCATCTTCGCAGAAGGAGCCGGCGCAACGAAGGTGGGGCAGGAGACGGGATCGGGCGCGGATATCCCCAATGCGTCTGTGTGCTTCTCGAATCAAGAGAGCGTCGTATTTCTCAACAAGACGAAGACACATGTTAAACCGTTTAGCCCGCAGCTCGCGAGCCCCGCCCACCGCGCAGAACAAGGCAACTGCACTCCACGCGCAGACGGACAAGCGATCGCAAAGCAAGACAAACGGGTGGAACGAGGGAACACGAGACACACGGGAGCGGGAACGACCCGACAGATCGCAAGCATGTCTTCACCCCTTCACGGAAGCCGTCAGATCGTGTTCAGTATCGCTAGCACAGGGGCAATCCTCACCGAGTCCGCAAACCACTCCTCGCAATCCTCTTTCACCCAGACAGCGGCGCCAGCATCGTCGATCCTGATCAGGGCGCATACGTCCTCGCGGGCCGCGAGCGCCATCGAGTTCGAGGAGCTTGAGCAGCCCACCCTGCATTATGCGTTACACTTCGGCGGCTCTTTCAATAATTTGAGCAGCGACCCCCAAGCTTGACCGAAATGCCGTTGGCGCATGCGTACTTCACGCGGGAGATCTCCACGGCACCAAAAGTCTGTCGTCCGCTGCGGATGGCGTTCGGGCTTCCTTGGATCCACCCACGACGCTCCACCCATGCGAAACCAGGGCGCGAAGCCCTTGGGTTGCTGCTCGGTTGAGCACGCAAACAAAAAGCTCTGGGACGAAAGATGGAATAAGGCGTGGCATCTGCCAGCGGGGTTGTTGTTTGGCAGAAGCAGAACGATGCTATCCCACGTGGCACAACGCGTGATAGCCAACACCTGCCTGGAGTACGTTCCGATCCAACGACGGCATGGGTTTGACACGCCCTGCGCAGGCGGCCGGCTCTCCCGACTTCCAGGGCCAGTGCGCGCATCGCAGCCAGGGACAAGGCGGCGTCCAATGAAAACGGAACGTGGGCGTGGGCTCACAACAAGCGGGGAGGCAAAAACCGGGGAGAGCCGCAACGGCGGTGTCCCCCACGCGCGGGCAGCGCGAGCTGCCTGCAAGGGCGGCGGCCAGCCTGCCGAACCGAGGCGCGGGCGGGGAGCGAGCGCTCCACGCCAGCCGAGGCGGGGCCCGGGGCGGCGCGCGCTCGGCGGCGACCGAACAGGGGGCGGGGCGGGCATGGCACCCAGCGCGGGGGCCAGTGGTCCGCAGCCAATGCCAACACGGCCGGCGCGCAAGGAGACCCGAGACGCGCGGGGCGCAGCACCTGGGTGGGCTGCTGAGCCTGCGGCGCGCAAGGGTACGCAACTCCAGGTGGGAGGCGCGCGGGGGGCGCCTGCAGGACAGACAGGTAGCAGCCGCCCGGCGGCGGGCAGGCGGGGGCGCCCCGTCGGGGTAGGGCGCACTGGGGCCAGGTCATTGGGGCGCCGCCGAACTGGAACGAACCTAACTGGCGCAAGGGGGCCCGCTGGAGCGCACCTGAGTGGCGCACGGGCGGGTTGAAAGAAGCTGGGGCAGGTCTGTATCAGTCAGGCGCACCAGCCGGGGTGGATGGTGCGTCTTGGGGGCAGGGGGGCCGACGCGCCACCTGGGGTGGGGGGCGCGCCGGAGGAACGCACCTTACTGGCGCACAGACCGATGGAAAAGCCAAGGCAAGCCCACGGCACCCAGGCGCACCAACTGGGGTGGATGGCGCGATTGGGGGCAGGCGGCAGGCACATCACAGCCAGGTGCGACAAGAGCAGGGCACCTCATGAAGGGGAGGGCATTGGGCGAAGCGCACCCCCTGGGGTGGGAGGCGCGCTGGTAAAGACGCACATGACTGGTGCACGGACAGGTGGATAAGATGCGGGCACCTCTTGGGGCGAAAGGCACAACGCAGTCGTCACAGCCCAGGTAAGTCAATAGCTGTGAAACATGGAGAAGCAGAAAAGGGGGAGGAGAAAGGAGGAGGGCGAGCAAGGGGGGACGAGGGAGGATGTTGTTTTGTTGTTAGCCGAGGGGCTTCGCGCGTGCGCACTCCGTGACTCCTTGCCAGGCAGCAGCAGCAGCAGCTCACGAGACCGAAAGGGAATCAATAGCTACGCCACTGCAGCAACTGGACAGAGCCTAGAAAGGCATAGTTGACTCCCATCCAAACACCCCAGGAGGATGGGAGGTGGAGGCGGAAGAAAAGATCCCGCCTCGAAGAACACCACCTTGAGCAGCCCACGGCGCGCGGGCGGCGTGGGCGGCTCGAAGCCTCGCCTGCCTGCGCTCGCGCGCCTGCTCACGATTCGCTCGGATTCGTGCGAACTGCACCTCACTGAGGGGGGGAGGAGGAGGAGGAAGAGGAGAAGAGTGGGGAAGCCCAGACTGGGCAAAGAAATTCGCTGCCTCGGCACGCACACATAAGGTCAATGTGTGCCTGTTCCTCGACTGCCTCGATCTCGGGGTCCTCTTCCCACGGATCAGTCTGTTGCTCATCCGGCCCAAGGGCGGGGGACTCACCCGAGGGGGCGATCGAGGTTTCCGAATTCCTCTAAGACGGCCCGAACCCGAAACGCTGGGGTTCGGGCCGTCTCAGAGGAAGGGGAGGATGATGTAGGAGGGGAGAAAACGAGAAGCGCAGAACCCAAAGCCAAACCCGGAGCCAGCCGCGCAGGGATCCTCAAAAGGGGTCGTGTTCAGGGCGAGGACCCAAGAATATCGAGAGGTAGGGGGGAGGTGCGAAAGAGGAGGGAAGGGATGTGACAGGAGAGAAGAGACTTCCCAAGAAGGGGCAAAGAGGAGAGAGGGGCTAGAGAAGGGGTGATGGAGAAGCGAGGAGAGTTTTCTTCCTCCTCCCCATCTTCCTCCTCCTCCTCCTCCTCCTCCTTCTCCTCCTCTTCCTCCCATTATTTCCACTCTGTTTTCCCTCCACCTCCTCATTCTCCACGTCCTCCTCGTCAGCAAGGGGTCATTCCTCGTTGCGATCACCAACCGAGTCCTCCGACTCATCCGCTTCCTCTCCGGTGCGCCCATGCACAGAGGTTGAACCCTTCCTCCACCTCGCCCTTGACCGTCCTGCTCCGCCTCTTCCTTCTCTTCCTCGTCGCCTTCCTTCTCCTCATCCACTCCACGTCGCGCCACCAGGCGTCCAAAAGGACGGGCTGGGCGCTCCGCCTGCGATTTAGTCACCTCCTGTGGCCCTGGAGCTCGAGATCCCGGACAGTCACACAAATCGATGGCGGGCGGTTTGAAAGTGTGTCTCTCGCCCCAGCGCCGCGGATTCTGCAACAGCGCCCCACAGGTACGAAGATGTATGGCACATCGATGTCAACGTGTGGCTATCGTCAGGGCGCCGCGCGAGTTCGCTCCATAGGCTTCCAGCAGCTGCAAGGACGGAGGGCGGCGCCGTTCCAAACCAACATTCTCATACTGGAATGCATCACGTCTTACAGCCACGAACCTCAGTACGGACCGAATGCTGCGCATTGTCACAGCGGAGCTCTCGCTTAGGACCGATGGAAGCCAAACATTGTTCGGAAGGAGCACCGATCGAGGATATTCCCTTTTCAAGCTAGGGCTCTCGCTGGACACCTCGTGAACTTTCTGGCCACATCTCTTCACAGTACTTCTAGCTCGAAAGACGGTGGGCAATTCCATTAAAAAACGGAACTCCCGACTGATGGGTAGACCCTTCATGCGCTCGTCTTGCATGGGAGCGCTTCCCGCAGTGAAAAAGAGTTCTGTAAGGATTTCAAGGAAGTATGAGTGGACTTGGGACAGGAGGGCGTACTGCTGCTGACTGCATCGTTGATGCACCCTAAGTGTACTCATGCTCCTCCATCCCCCTGCTGCTGCCCACTCCCCCCTCTCCGCCTCCGCCTCCTACTCCTCCTCCGCCACTTCTTCCTCCCTCCGACCCCCCATAGAACCATTCAAACGCTGCTCAGGCACCCAGGACCCGCCCGGGCGTCATGTCAAAAAACAAAAACTGAAACAAGTCGACCCTCCTGCAACTCCAACGGGGATGGAGAAAGAGGGAGAAATATATATATATATGAATATATATATATATATATAGAGAGAGAGAACAATGCATAAAGCAATGAAGGAAGAACGCTAACTAGAGATACAGAAGGAGAGAGAGAGAGAGAGAGAGAGCGAGACAACGAGAAAAAAACCAAACATACGCGAAGTAGAGAGTGGAGCGAGAGGAGGATGGTGAGAGAGAGAGAGAGAGAGAAATGAAGAGAGAGAGAGAGAGAAGATAGAGAGGGAGAGGGATATCCTGGTCGCGTGACGCGGGCGGGCGGGTGAGGGGGGACGCCCTCCTCATGGAACTTCTCAATATCGGGGAGCTCGGCCTGCAAGCGCTCCACCTCGGGAGCGAGCTCAGCGCGGGGAGAGACGATCGTTTTCAACGTTGTCCATCGTCGTCGGTCGTCGGTCGTCATCGTCGTCGTCGGTAGTCGCGCGTCGGTTGTCGGTGATCGGTCGTCGGTCGTCGGACATCGTCGTCGGTCGTCGCCGTCGCCGTCGCCGTCGTCGGTCGTGGGCCGTCGGCCTCATCGATCATGGGTGTCGTCGTCGCCCTCGGCCGTCGTCGTCGGTATAAGGTCATCGGTCGTTGTCGGTCGTCGGTCGGCTTGTCGGTCGTCGTTGTCTTGGAGGCCGAGGGGGAGAGGGGATCCCGAAACCTAGAATAGTTTCGGCAAAACTTCCGAAAGCCGCCGAACACCTCCGAGAACCGCCGTTTCGAGAACAGTCGAGGACCGATGAAAACCAGAGCCGCAGTGAACACATACCACCCCAAGAACCGACGATGGTGTGGGGACGGGGCGGCACCTCCGCTGGCGGGCCTGCCTCCGTCCCATCCCCTTGGGAAGGAAGAAGGCGCAAGGGCAGGAGGAGAAGGGAAGCGGAGGGGTGCCAGGGAGGGGGGCGGGGCAAGGGCAGCCGCATGAGTTCGTCAAGATGCGACCTTAGCCGCCTGCACGGCGGGAAAACGCGCCCCCGTGGCGTGAGCGGGAAGGCGAGGGGGGAGGGATCCAGGAAGTGAAGCGGTGCTCTCCCGAGACGAACTGATCACCCCGAGCCTCCCACAAGCACGAGGGGAGGGCGGGGGAAGGAGGAGCAAGGAGCAGGAGGAATGGGCAGGGGTGACGGAGCGACGCCCGCGCCCGGGGCCAACTCGGCGCCGCGCATCCTTCTGCCAGGTCTTGCGGTCATTCACGGCCTGCGCAGTGCGAGAGGGGCCGCGCAAGGCGGGGCGGGGCGCGGGCGCTGCGGCCCGAGCCACACGCGTTTCAGACTCGTTCAGACGGCTTGATGGGCTTGAGTGCTGCTGCTGCTCCTCCTCCCTCCTCCGCCTCCTCCTCCGCCTCCTCCTCCTCCTCATCATCATCATCATCTTCCTCCTCCTCCTCCTAATACGGCAGCGTGGTCCTGGTGCTGCGGAGTAAGGCTCCACCGCCAAGCGACGTCGGGCTTGACGGTGGGTCAGGCCGGGCCTCTCTTTCCTCTTAGCAGGCGCTCCTCCGATAGGGAGTAGACCCTGCCCGTACTAAACAGGACCTCCAGCTCGGGCTCCGCCCTTGAAGACGGCACGACAGCCTTGCCAGCGAAGACGAGCTAGAGTCAGAGGCAACGGCCTGGCAATCATAACGAATACCAAAGGCAAATCTCGCTGTGTTCTGCGTAAGATGTGAGTGCATGTTCCAACTGCTCCTGCCTGGGGGTTTGCGGGCACGGTCTCCAGACAGGCCCCGTCACCGATATCAAAGCCCCACATTGCCGGGTGACTGACAAATTGATTGACTGACGGACTAGCGCTCATGGACAGCTCGGGTAAGACATTCTGGGCCGCCTGCTGGCGCCGCCACCCGCAAATTTTCGGTGGCAGCTCATGGGAGCCTCGCATACCATGTCGTTGGCTCTTGCGAACCGACGCTAATCGACACTACTAGACGCTAAATTGGCACTACTCCACCAATCACTAATCGACGCGAATCGACGCTAAATCGGCGCTATCCCATACCAATCACTAATTAAGGATAGCGCACTCTGAGGGCGGACTTGCGAAGGTGCCCAATGCCCCCATGATCTGCGACTGAAAGACTGCAGCCGCATCCGGGCACGCAACCGCCACTGGGCAACGAAGCTTGGCCGCCCGCGGCCGGGGGCCGGGGGCACCCGCAACGCAACCGCCAGACGCAACGACTGGGGCGCCCATAACAGCACCCGCAACTGGGCAACACATGCTGGGCCGCACGCGGCCGCGGGCACACGCAGCCGCGCACGCAACCGCGCAACACATTCTGGACCGCCCGCGGGCGCCCGCAACCGCACCAACCGGACAGCACATGCGGGTCTGGCAGCGGGCGCCCGCAACCGCACCCTTGACGGGGGAACACGTTTCAGGCAGGCAGCGAAAGCCCGCCAGCCTGCAACAGGCCACCATATCTGGGGCACCTCGCGGCTGCGGCCATCCGAAACCACACCCACATCCGCATCCGCTTGTATCCTGGGTACCCGCGCTACCGAGGGCTCATTCAAACGAAGTTCATCGCAGTGGCCTCTGCAGCCGCCGATCCAGGTGCAAAGGAGAGAGAGGAGCACGAGGGGTATGAGAAAAGAGGACGGGCAGCAGGAGGCGGAGCGGGAGGAAGAGGGGGAAGGGGAGGGGAAGGAGGTGACGAGGAGGAGAACACAAGGAATCAGGAAGGCCCTGTGTAGACGCCAGGGACGTCTTGGGGAGCTCTTCCGCCTGGGAGCCGTCTTCGAGTCAGAACGTACATCTGCACGTCTATCTTGAGTCGTTTTGGCTTCATCTTGGGGCAGCCTTGGAATCCTAATGGGCTGTCTTGGGACCCTCTGGAGGCCTTCTGTGGCCGTGTTAGGGCCTGGCTGCTGCGATACTGCGGCAATTGGGGCCCGTTGGGAACTTCTTTCATGTCACCATGACCATCATCATATCAATCGCCGTCACCTCACCATCGTCGTCAACTTCGTCCACATCTGAACCCGCGGCACAATCACCGTCACCATCACCATTGCAATCAGTACCCCACCATCATACACATGTTCACAACGTATTATTGCAGTCCCTCATTACCGATCTGAACAGCCTTGGGCGCGGCTGGCAGTTGCCCCTGGACTAGATTGCCTCCTTACTGGCAGGAACCCGATGGCTGGTGTCATGAATGCTTGGAAGCTCCCTGAGTAAAAAACATGCTGGATCGACAACCAATGCCGCGTTGACGATCCGATGCGAATGGGCACATAGTAGGCGCTGAAAATAGTTATGCTACTTCCGGAGGTCGAACGCTGAATGCCAAGCTTGTCGCAGACTGCCGAACGAGAGCAGATGCTCGAAAAGCAGAGCCTGGCTCATAAGTTATCGGTCGAATGCCTGACAGCTGGTGGCAGCGCTCCGCACCATGTAGAATATATCTGGAGACCGCGTGCCTGCCGAGGGTGAGGGTCGTATCACCGACCCGAGAACTTGCATATTGCAAACCAACTTAAAACCTGCAGCTCCACCGGATAACGGCCCACTGACGAATGCATTACGTAAACGCTTGTCGAGAGCAAACTCCAGAGGAGGAGGACGACATGCAGGATGGTAATGCCGCCCTTCAAGTGTCCTCATGAGGAAAACTGCCCATCTTCCTCGTGGTCGTCCTCCCCCTCATCCTTCTTGTTCCCTTCCTCCACCTCGTCCCTTCTCCAATGCCCCCCCTCCCTGTCCTCGACCACCTTTCCGCCGCTATCCCCGTCCCCGTCCTCATAGCAGAAGTCGTCCTTACCCTTCGCCTCCTCTTCGTTCAACTCCTCCTCCTCCTCATCCTCCTCCCCCTCCTCATCCTCTTCTTCCTCCTCCTAATCCTTCTCTTGATCCTCATTCGCCTCGTCCTCATCATCACCTTCATCGCCCTCCCTGAGCTCTCCTCCTCCTCCACCACCTCATCCTGTGGGCAGCTGCAGCAGCCTGCGCAGCGATCTCCTCGCGCTTGGCCACTCCTCTCTTGAGAGAATCCATCCGCCTGGCGTCAACCCGAGAGGACACTAACAGGGGAAAGCAGGAGGAGCAAGAGGGAGTGGGGGGGCAAGAGCATCAGAAAGGGCATGATGAAAAAGAGCATGAGATGTAAGAAGACTAGGCGGAATCGGAGGAATGTGTAGAATAAGACGAGGGGGAGGAGGGCAGGGGGGGGGAACGGAAAGAAGGGTGAAATCCACGAGGAGGAGGGTTGGCAGGATGAGGGAAGGGTGGGCAGAGGAAACAAGGAGTGAGTGAAAGGTACGACGAGGAGCAAAAGCCCAAAGGCGAGAAACATCAAATGGCTTGAAGCTGAGAAGAAGTCACTGGGCAACGGCAGAAGGTCCATCGACCCCCACCACGGAGACTACTGCATTGACTCAAGCACCAGACAACCGCACGGGACCACCGACGGGCTCCATCGACGGGAGAAAAGAAATCCAAGCGGCACTTCACCACACAATCCGCCGGGCCCGTCCCCGCGGAGGAGGAAACGAAATGGTCGAGCTTGCCCTTAGCTGCTGACGGTTCTCTTCCCTGGCCCTCACGCGCAGCTTCAGCCTACACGTATGCACGGCGTGAAAGGAACTGAAAACGATATGTTCGCTTGCTGGGGAGGGCTCCCAACTCACTTCGCTATCATCCCCCAACCTCCAATTGCGAGCGTGCCTTCCGCACAGGTTGCCGCTACATCAGACTCACAGTATGTTCGTGCATCTAATTACTGAGCGCAGCGTCTGAAAGACTTGTGAGTGTGATGTTTCTGCGTACTCACACTGGCCTTCATCGATGCAATTCGTTTCTTGACCCAGTGCCCCTGCCAGCCCACCAGATCTGGCCGTATCGGACGGCCACTGCCTCTCCCTTACCTTTTCCACTCCTGCTCCTCATCCCTTCCCTTTCTCGGGTCATCTGCGCAGGTCCTATCAAATGTGAAGCACGCGATCGAACAGCACTGCGGGCAAACCCAGGGGAAAGAGCATCGGCCTCTGCATCTCCTCCTTTTCCCGCGCCCCCTGCTCCGCGCACACGTTTTTGCCTCGGCGGACCCGCACCCTTCCAGCTCACGAGGAACCATGCGTGAACGAGAACGACGACAAGTATGGCAAGGGAGGGGTCGAGGACACAAACAAGGACCAGGACGCGGGCAACGACTGTAGCACTAGCAAAAGCACCAGCTACAACAACAAAAGCACCAGCACTGGCAACAGCAACAACACTTTGCCAAGATACTTATGAGATGCGTGTGAGTCACTTCTGAATAGTTTCAAGTCGTTTCCGAGTACTTCCGACTTGTTTGAGCACTTCGCAAGCTTACCGAATACTTAGCTAAGTGCTTGCTAGGTCGGCTAAGCACTTAGTTTATCAAAGTTGACTTAAAGGGCCGATTTAGTACGTAGTTAGCTGAATTCTTCGACGGCGGCTTAGCCCGACTTCGTACGTACTTACAACGTGTATTGCCAAGTTTCTAGTTAAGCATTTAGCAAACGATTTAGACACACTTGCGAATTACCTAGCAAACAATTTAGCGGCATTCGCTAAGTACTCAGCAGGTATTTCGAAATCCTTTGCTCAGATCTTTGCAGTTGGCATAGCATGTGGCTTAGCAAAGCACTGAGCGCAGCGCTTGAAAATATGTGCTTGAATACGTAGCGACGTTCGGGAAATATATGGCCGCGTGCGCTTCGAGCCGAACAAATTCGAAACACAACCTGGAGCATGAGTTGGTACGATATCGGCATGCATTTTGACAGACATCGGCGTGTTTTCTGAAACTGGGATCCCGATCCGAGCGAGGGGGGCATACGATACAGCGACATCTCACGCCAGCTCACGATGATGATGGGTGGTGACAATGAAGATAGACTTCAGAATGGATGACGAGGCGCGCCAGAATTGACAAGACATGGGGACCGGACTGCACTGCTATAGCAATGTGGTTTGGTTGCCGTTTCGCGCCCACACCATCAACCACAATCGAAATCCGCACAGAGTTCCTTCGACGCGTTGAGGTTTCGCCCCGCACGCGGGCAGGGGAGCGCGAGAGCTTTGCGACTGCAATCCTGTCGACATCTGCTTTCCACCGCAAAGCCGTTTACACCGCGCATCGGAATATTCAGCAACCTGCTGGGTGTTCCCACATGGTTGTTCAGCAAATTCAGCAAACCTTCGTCGCCAGAAAACTGCCGAGGACAAAAAGGTAAGACGTCGGACAGGATTGCCGATAGAATTGTGACCGTGGATGCGATGATGACGAGGGCGGGGATGGGGGGGGCGAGGACGTCAGGGAGCAGCGACGACGACGGCGCTGCCGACGACGAGGACTACGGCAACGACAGCAACGGCGTGGCTGATGAGGCTCACGCGCGTGGCGCGCACACTTCGGGCGGCCACGCGCGCGCCCGCCGCGCGAGGCCCCCCCCGCGCGCGCCCGCCGCGCGAGGCCCCGCGCGCCCGCCTCGGGCGGCACGGGCGGCCCCGCAAGCGGAGAAGATGCACGCGCGCCCTCGGCCAGCGTTCAGCCCGATGGGGATCAGCGCCCGGCTGCGTTGGGTGCGGCGGACGGCGCTGGCTCCTCTCAGGGCGCGGCGGCGCCGGGCGGTCTGAGACAGCGCTGCGAACGGGCGACGCCGAGGCCGCCGTTAGTCGGGGGCGACGCCGAGCCCGACGCCGCCCCCGACGCCCTGCCAAACGGCGTGCCCGACGCCCTTCCCGACGCCCGTCCCGACGCCGCTCCCGACGCAGTGCCCGACGTCCAGCCCGACGCTCTCCCAGACCTGAGCGACGCCCCAAAAACCTGGAACCGCTGCCGCGGGCCCCTGGGGGGCCGCCCTCATCAGCCTCAAGCGCGCCCCCTGGGCCCCGAGGAATCCGTGGGAGCTCGAGACCTCCGAAGGCAATGTACTGCCCCTCCCTGATCGCGCCACCAGCTTGCTGAAAGTGCCACCTCGAGACCGCGGGACGGCGAAGCCCGAGGCCAGGGCAGCCCACAAAATGGGCCTGACCGACGAACAGTTAGACGTCTCAGCAGCTCGTCAAGTCTTCGAAGACCCCTCAGCCGCCAAGAAAGGAGTTGCCTACGCGCGCACATCACGCAATGCTTGTGGACAAACATCCAAACCAGCAGCAGCAGGGCACGACATTGACGACATTGACACCCAGCGAGAGTGCGACCACGCAACGGACGAAATGAAGCACCGACTCGACCGCCCTCTCGCCAGGAACCTCAGATCTGAGAGCTTAGAAGCCGCCGACTTCAGGGCGCCCCAACACAAATCCCCTAGACCACGGCGTTCAGATCCAACCCCGGTTGTGCGTGAACAGACCCAACGAGGTCGGGCTCTCCTGGGAGTTCTTGCCCAAACACGGCGGCCCCCGAGAAGTAGCCTTGGCTATCAGAGGCTATGTCGATGTCGAAGGCGTTGCATTGCGTTGCATTGCGTCGCATGTCTTTGCAGCGCGTTGCGTTGTATTGCGTTACATTTATTCGCAGTAAGTTGCGTCGCTTTACAACGCATGTGTTTTGCATTCCGTGGCATTGCTTCACATCGCATCCCATTGATATCACATAGGTTTACATTGCTCTGTCCTGCCCTGCGTTGCATTGAATTGCGTTGCGTTCTTCTGCATTGCTTCGAATTGCATTGATTTGCATTGTTTTGCACGCGTTGTATTGTTATGCGTTGTTGCGCCTTGTGTTGCATTGCTTCGCGCTAGATCGCATTGATTTGCGCTGGTTGGCACTGCTTTGCACTGTTTCACACTGCGTTGTATTGCTTTGCACCGCGTGGATTGCACCACGTGGATTTCACCACCCACACTGCACCACACTGATAGCACCACCTAGACAGCACCGCGTATATTGCAAGAGACCACAGTTCGCGGCTCATGCCAGCTAGCATTAGAAAGCGAACGTCATACAACAACTCTTCAAAATCCCCATGTTGTGAGGGTGTCTCAGGCGAAACGCCCCCCTTCATACCAGCTTGGATATCCGACGTCTGATGTCCAGCATTTAATTGTCTGCGGATCTCCCAGGCGAAGGCTGATTGTTGAAAACCGAATTCTCACAACGACCCTACAAACGCCCGCATTTCGTGGGGATGTCTCAGGCGAAACAATCCCCCCGCACCATGTTGGATATCCGACACCCTATCTCCAATTTTCCAAATCTTCTGAGGATGTCTCGGAAGAGTGCTGCACTTGTGAGAACCAACTTCGGAAGACTCCTCCAACGTCCTCATAGTGTGAGGCCGTCTCCAGCGAAGCACCCCCACACACCGTATTCGTATTGGATGTCCGGCGCGACCGTGGGCACGCGAGAGCACGTACCCCCCTCCGCGTACGCATGTCCACGTGAGAAAACTTCTGCTGCCCAGCACAGAACGCTCGAGCTGGTCGCGCGCGAAACGCGCGGCCCACCTCCGAGGACGGTGTCCACAGTGCCTGCACGAGTTCACACGCAGTCAGCCCATGCAGCCTTAGGCCGGAGCCCGAGAACAGCGGCGGCCAACGTAGCCCGGAGCCGCCACAGCTGCAGGGGGCTCTCTGGTAGCCAGCCAGAGAACACGGGCGCCGGCGCCACACCCATTTGGCCGCTGGCCCAACGAAGCACTGGATTACCCACAGCATCGTCGGGAGTCGGGACTTTAGTCCCTCCTCGCCCCCGAAAGCTAGGAGGGCCCCGTGAGGTAACTCCATTTAACCAAGCCCTTCCGGGGTGGATCCATGGGCTAGATCCTACAGTCGGCTGTCTAGGCCGAGCGGCAAGTGTCTCTCCTCAAGCTTCGTCCAGCAAGGGTGACGATAGGGCTGCTACCCGCCTGTTTTCCAGGGGCGGCCAAAGCCCTTTGTGGCACGAGTGCCCACATATAAAGAATCCGACGCGAATAAATTGGATACCCCCCCCGGGCCCCGCTGTCGCTAGGCACGAGTGGAAACGCGTGCCCAACGCATGCGCGACAGGGCCAAAAACCTGCACGCTGAAAGAGAACCCTGGACTTGGACCCTTGCCAGGAAATAGTTTTACCCTTTCGAGCCCAGTTCGGGTGCCTTCCTTGTTTGTGGTCCCATGTTGGCTCTATCGGGCGCCCTCGCTGCCCCGCCCCTTGGGAGCTGCTGATTAGCCGTAGAGCTCCCGTGTGTTGTCTTGATCTGGACTTCGACCCGAGATGGGCTGAAGGACGTCCACAATTTTAGCCCACATCCAGTGTGACTACTCCTTGTTCGACGAGAGGCGAAAAAAAGCATGATGCGCCGCTGACGGCACCACCACCAGTTTTTTGCCTCCCGGTACTTCGCCTCCGGGTTCCTGTTCAAAGCGTTCCTTTGCATGCACTTCGCTTTCGGCACCGCCTGATCCCGGGATTTTGCCCTCTCATGGCCTTGACGTGAGGCCCCTCCTTCTGGTTTCCTTCCTCTGTTAATTAAAGCTGTGCGCGGCCCGCTTAGCTTCGACCGGAAGAGGCTCGCTCTCGACCCGCGGATCCCAAACAAAAAATGTTAGACGAGAGGCAATTGCATCACGTGCACTGCGACCAGCCCGACATCGACTTGAACGCCGCCCTGGTCCTTCTTTTGATCCGACCGGCGGACCGAACTCTTCCTCCTCCCCATCCTCTTCATCCTCCTCCATTTCCTTCTCCATTTCCTCCTCCTTCTCCTCCTCCTTCTTCTCCTCCTCCTCCCATCCTTGCCCGTTTACCCCTCCTCCTCCTCCTCGTCCTCCTCGTCCTCCTCCTCCTCCTCCTCCTCCTCTTCCTCCTCCTCTTCCTCCTCCCCTGTTACCCCCTCCTCCTCTTGGGACTGGCGGTCAGGTCTGCGCCACACCACAGGCCACACTCGGATCACCTCCACGAGCGCGAGGATGAAGGAGAGCAGCGCGACGACCCCCAGCTAAGTACTACTCCCTCCCCCGCCGTCCTCCTCCGACTCCGACGACGACTCCGACGACGACGCACGCCGACGATGCACGCCGACGTTGCGCGCCGGCGCCGCGGGGCGCGCCCCTCGCCGGCCGAGGCCAGGACAGGCCAGGGCAGGCCGCAGCGAGGCCAGGGCGGCCTCTGCGCGCTGGCGGCGGCAGGGAGGAGGGGTAGGGAGAGGGAAGGAGGGAGGGGGAGGATGTTGACGACCAGCAGGAAGGATCTGGCTCTGCCATCGCTCTTCCCACTCCAGGAGCGATGGCAGGCAGCCGCGAACTCGCGCGAGGGAGGCCCCGCCTCTGCCCCCTGCTCCCGCTGCTGCCGCCTTCGATTGAGGAGGGAGGAGGAGGGAGGAGGAGGAGGAGGGGGAGAGGGAGGAGGAGGAGGAGGAGGAGGAGGAGGAGGAGGAGGAGGAGGAGGAAAGGGAGAAGCCAGAGTGCAGAAGTGGGCTGCACGGAGGAGCGCGGGAAGTGGGGAGGGAGGGATGGAGGGAGGGAGGAGGAAGAGGAGCGCATCAACTATGCAACAATCCGCCCACCGTCCCAAGTCCTCTCCTCTTAAGGCCTGACGCGAATTTCTGAAAAACGAGCGCTTCCTCCTCCTCATCATCATCCTCCTTCCCTCAGAGAAAGCAGGAGGGAGGAGTGAGGAGAGGGAGGTGGAGGAGGAGGGAGGCAGGAGGTAAATGCTCGAGTGAGGGAAGAGGGAGGGGCCAGTGAGGAGGGCGGAGAGAGCAAGGAGGCTGGGGGAGGAGAGAAAGAAAAGGGAGGCGGGAAGAGGGAGCAGGGAGGGTGTTTCTGGAGGGGGTGACGGGATGTGCTCGAAAGTTTTCGGGCATGGTCGGGGATTCTCGGGGAGGTGACACCCCTAAGGACGAAACATGTGGCCCCGCTATTCGTCCGAGACTCGGTCCACAATAAGAGGGAGGGAGGGGCTTTCGGGGGAAGGAAGAAGGTGTTAAGACTGTTCGGTGATTTTAGAATTTACTGAAGGGGATGGGAAGGAGGGAGGAGGTCAGGCCTGCCCTCGTCGCCACGGCTGGACTCGGCTCGTCATCCCAGACACAACGCCCCAGGAAAGGTCGCGGGGAAAAGGTTCGAGGGAAGGTGGGTAAACGTATAGACGCCAAAGAAAAATAAGAGGGCCCAGGAACCCGGCAAGGAACTTGATCCAGGCTGTTTTATGGCGCGTCTGCTTTACGCGACCGCTAGCACGATATGGTATGCTATTCCCTGCTATCCTGGGCTTTGCTGCGCGGTGTAGGGCGGATCTGGCGCTTCGTATGAGACGTTTCCCTGTGACCCAGTTAACGCTGAAACATGCGAACACACACACATGACTTACGCGTGCCGAGACTCATAGTGGATACCCCCCATCCACGAAAGAACTTGCACGTGAGAAGAATATGACGACCGCATGTTCGAAATTCGTCTGGAAGAGCTGGACACGTGAAAGCATGCGCCAAAAGCGCAACCCCCAGACGCATGTTGAACGCGCCACTTCTGCGCATGCATTTTCACGTCTCATGGACACGTCACTCCAGTGTTGGATACCCAGCATGTGGCCCTTGCGGTGCCAAGAACACGTGAAAACACATACCGAACGCACGCATGCCCCCTCTCCGCGTATTCCTTTACGTGCTGGAACCCGACGCACGTTTACGCGTGAGAACTTCTGCACGCCGTCCCCCCCCTCCCCTGGGAGCCTGGACACGTGAAAACATGTCACAGACGCGCACTCGCCAGACGCATGTTAGAGATTTCCACCTTCGGACGATCCACCCGTCGCCCCTCTGGCTCCGAAGACATGTGAAAGTGCGTGCCGGACGCTTGCGTGCCGAGGCTCATGCTGGGCCGCCGCCCCTCTGCGCACGTATCTGTGCGTCCGCACATCGTCGACATTCCCGCTTGGGGTGGGAAGGCCTGAAAACGCGCGCCAAATGCGCGCGCAACGCATGTTGGATACCCCCCTCCGCGCACGTGCTTGCAGGCGCGAAGAATCCGACGACCGCATGTTCGATACTCCCCTGGGGGGCTGGACACGTGAAAGCACGTGCCAAACGCGTACGCACCAAACTCATGGTGAATAATTACCCTCCCTCTGTGCAAGCAATTTTAGGCGTACGGAGTCCGACGCTTCGAGGATTGATATCCCAATTGTGGCCCCTGATGGCGGCGAAAACACGTGGCCGACTCCGGAAACTCTGAACCTACAAACGTGTCCATCTCTTGGAGGCGCATCTCCTGCTTCCGCCGGCCTTTCGCCGGCTTCCGCCTGCGGATCCGCCCTCGTCGGCTTCCGCCTGCGGATCCGCCCTCGTTTTACTTCCGCCAGCTTCCACCGTCCTTTCGCGGTCTTCCGCCGAGCAAGAGATGACAAGTCAATCGATCCTCGAAGGCGAGGCCCTGTCTCGTGAATCATCCGCGCGCGGGCGCCAACGCCGCACTTTGCGATCAGTGTATTGGCTCGCGCGATGGCAGAGTACGACGACTTCCACTCGCGGGATCCCGGTCCACGCAACGGGGCGGCCGCGCAGCGCATTTCTAAAGCGACAGAGTCCGAGCAGTGGAAAGCTGGCGAGCACTTTGGGCAACTGGTCTGTCATCGCCAAGGCCCCGTCTTCTCCGTCGACTAGCACGGTGGGCCAGTGAGGTGGCGCAACACGCATTCCGAAAATACACACAGAGCACGACCACTGATTGGCTCAAGGCCCAGCTTGAAACCGAGAGACGCCTGTATCCCACGAGCGGTGCATTTGTGGTGTATGTGTTGTGTATGTGTGGTGTATGCGTGGTGTATGCTCGGTGTACTTTGTGGTGCATGATTGGGGTATGTGTGGTGCATTTCCTGAATTCTCACTTTCATAACCTCAAATGCATTCCCAGAGAGGGATTCCATTCCCCGTGGGGGGTCTGGAACTCTAGTGATTGCTCCCTTTCTTAATCGAACGCGGTCCTTTTGTATTCCTGGGGCCGCGGGCGGAATCTCCGGGACCGCCTGGCGCGCGACAGAGGCGGTCGGAAGTATTCGTGGTGCATTTGCGGTGTATGCTTCGTGCAATTATGTATTGTGTTTGTGGTGCACGTCTTGTGTATTTGACGTCTACTCGTGGTGAAAATATAATGCATTGGTGGTGTATCCTTGGTGTATTCCCGCGGCTGCTTCGCGCTTTCAGGATCGGGCCAGACGTGGGGCACCGAAGTGAAGCCAGTTGTGGACACCCAGGACACATGACATGGATCCCTGGAGCGCTGCTGCTTCGAAATGCTGAGTCCGTGCACGCTGTCAGAGGTTGCCCAACCAGACAAACAACACGATGATCCATCGAAGGTCGAAGAAGTGCGCGACGCGCGATGCTGCGCGGCGCGCCACGCGGCACGGCGCGGCGCGCAGTGCTGCAACACTCGTCCGGTCGAGGGCCCAGGCCCAGCGGCACGCAAAAGAGAACCCTGGTTGTTGCTTGCCTCTCTCCCCCCTCCTCCTCCCGGCCCCCCTTCCGCCTGCCCGCCCGCCCCGCCGGCCCCGGCCTCCCGCATGCGCGTTCGTCGTGGCCTGCCTGCTTCTCCCCTCATCTTCCCCCTTCGCTGGGCAGCACAGCCTGCCCAGGAACAGCGTGGCGGCGCGCAGGGCTTCGCCAGAAGGCTATGCTTGTCACTAACTCTGTGCATGCTTGTCACTATTTCTGTGTCCGTGGGCCGTTTTCAAGCTCCACCGACACTCAGAAAACGACCTGCGGCGAGAAACACGTCCTGGGAATGAGGTCGAGAGGGGCCCACATCGTGGCTCTGGAGGTCTCCGGAATAGGAGGAAAATCTAAAAGGTTCTCAGGGGTTCGGGTGGGATCTAGGAGGTTCTAGGGGATGCTTGTCAGAAGGAGATTGTCTCCTTCTCCTCATCATCCCTTCTCTGCTAGGGAGGGGCAAACTCAAACTTGCCACGGAGGAGCCAGTTCAAACTTGTCACCAACACCGCCTGAGGGTGCAGGATGCACTGATTTACGGGATGAAGGTGTGTATGATGCCCTGCGCAAGCGCACAAAAAGAAATACACACCACCGCCACCACCTCTCAACCCGCTCTGAATGACTCACTCCAGATGATGCTGGTCGCGGCGATCCACCGTCGTCCGATAATCCGATCTTCCTCCTCCTCCCCCATCCTCCCCCTCCTCCTCACCCTTTCCCCTCCTCCTCCTCTTTGCGGGGCGCGCGCGGATCGTCCACGCCTCGTCGCTGCCATCGCAGCAGTCGCAGATGCCGTCCCCCACACGTGAGGCGTAGATGGTGCGGGCGGTGCTGCCCTTGTTCGGACAGAAGAAGAGCGTCTTCTGTGCCGGCCGCATGGGTGGAGGATGAAAGGTAAAAAACTAAAAAGAAGAAGCTGGGGGAGGAGAAGCAAAACAAGAGAGCACAGGAGGACGGGAAGGAGGATGGTAGCCTGGAGCCGAAGATCCAAGAGAACGAAACGGAGGTGAGACGGAATGACGGAGGGCGAGGAGGCGGGGAAGGAGGGAGGAACAAAAAGAGACATGCGGCACGGTGAAAGATGAGGTAAGACGCGAAACAATAACGAAGGAAACATGATCGAGCAGGATCCGGGCGAAGAGGAGAGGGACAATATGATTAAGGCTGATCTGAGTGAAAAGTTGGAGGAGACTCTTCCTCCTCACCTTCATCCTTGTTACTCCTAGGACGCCATGCCCTCATGACGACGACAACGACGACGACGACGACAACGACGACGGCGGCGACGGCGGCGGCGACGACGACGACGACGAGCGAGTACGGCTGACGACGACGACAAGGCGGCGAAGGCGGCGGACGATGACGACGAAGGCGGACCACGACGACGGCGACGGCGACGTCGGCATCGACCACGTGGCCTCTTGGCCTGCGCAGGCGCCGGTCCCCGGCTCGTCGCTGCCGTCGGGGCAATCGCAGTAGAGGTCGTTCACTGCCGAGGCTGGCAGGGTGACCTCCTTTGCCGGCACGCCGGCAGTGCACCTCTCTCAAGGGCGTCGCTGTCGTCGCCGTCGCTGCAACCGCCGTCGCCGCCACCGTTGTCGTCGTCGTCGTCGTCGTCCTCCTCCTCCTCCTCCTCGTGGAAGGATGGGAGGGTGCAGGGCAGTCGATTCCTGTTCGAAACGGGGTTCTCGCCTGAATGGCAGGCCCACGCCGCGCTTGTCTTTCAAGGGGGTGCTCCTTGAAGTGGAAGGAGGCTTGTCGGGACTTTTGAATATAGAAAGTGGCACAGGACGGTGAACTGCAGCATCTTCGGCGTTTGGGTTTACTTTGGTCCTCCTCCTCCTCCTCATCATCATCATCCTCTTTCTCCAGTGTTCCCGTCCGCGTCGCCCAGGGAGGGCGAGGAAGGGAGAGGAAGAGGAGAATGGGGATTTTTCCCTTTCTGGCAACGCACAGCAAAATGTGCCCTCGACCTCAAGCACTGTACCTCACTGCAGCGAAGCTGCGCCACAGCGTGAGGTGGAAGAAAATACGGCGGCCGCCGAAATGCATTGTAAAAGGCCCCAACGAAGCCTCACAACCATAGCGTGAAACGACGGAGCGGCAGAGCAGAAAAGGAAGACTAGCCGCGTGCAGCCAGGCCTGAGGCCCAGACAACACTAGACAATCTAGAGGCCAGAAAAGAGGGGGGAAGAGGGAAAAAGGCGAGCGAGGGCAAAGCCCACGCTTGCGGAGGCCACTGAAGGACGGCACGCGCAACAGGACCCACACGAGCGAGGCGGAGGAGAGAGGCAGGGAGCAGAGCAAAGCACCAGAGAAGGAAACAAACAGGACAGCCAAGCAAGTACTGTAAACTGTGATGGACCATGTTTTGTTGCTGTGCGTGGCCGAATCCCGCTACGTGCGGGCACCCGCTAGGCGGCGGGATGGCGAGCCCCGGGGTCGGCCGCCGCCGGCCATGCGGGACGCCAGCTATTGCATTGAACGGGCGGCAGCGTCCCGCGGTCGTTGAAGCAACTAACAGGAGCAAAGGGAGAAGCCGAAAGACAAAGACAGAGACAGATACAGACCGGAACTATGTACTGCAACAAGGCGCATGCTGAGCTCAGAACTTCATAATGCTGCTCAGGGACGCGGTACTGCATTCATTACACGACGAGCTGTTGGATGTCAAGGTAATGCTGCGAAGCGCCACCATAATTCTAGAGCCCAACGCCATTCTCAACGAAGTGCTGCTCAAGGTCGTGCTGCCGTCGACCGTCGTGCTACTCAGTGGCCGCGCTGCTCGTCCTGCTGCCGGCGTCGATGCTGTTGGCCTTGGAGTTGGAGCTGGTGTTGACGTCGACGGCGGCGGCGATGCTGCTTGCGTCGGTGCTGCAGCGACGGTGTCGGAGTCGGTGCTGGCGTCGATGTAGCTGGAGTCGGTGCCGGAGTCTCAGCGCCGGCGCTCACATTGCTGGCCTAGTGATAAAAACCCCGCCACCACCTCCACCACCTGGACGATGGAGGCAGAGGGTGGTCAGGGGTGGTGATGGTGGTAGTGTAAATCGTTTCGGGCGTGAGGGACATCGTGCACACCCGCATCCCGCAAACCAGCTCATCCTGAATCCCCTCAATTGGTGGTGGTGGTGGTGCGATTCCTGCTACCCGACGTCGTTGCCGCAGTCGGTGCCAGAGTCGATGCTGCTGGCGCCGGTGCCAAGGTCGGTGCTGGCGTCGATGCTTTTGGAGTCGGTGCCGACGTCGGTGCCAAAATCGGTGCTGGCGTCGACGCAGTTGACGTCGGTGCCTGAGTCGAAGCCAGAGTCGATGTTGCTGGCGTTAATGTCGTTGCTGGCGTCGATGCTACTGAAACCGGTGCCGGCGTCGGTGCTGCTGGCGTCGGTGCGAAAATCGGTGCTGGCGTCGCTGCTGCTGATGTCGGTACCGGAGCCGGTGTCGGAATCGAAGCTGCTGGCATCGATGCTGCCGTTGGTGCTGGCGTCGATGCTGTCGAAGCTCGTGTGAGGGGGGGCAAGATTTGTCCGTCTCCGTTTGGTGGAAGTCGTCATGGTGGCGATGGTGGCCGCTGGAGCGTTCGTGTTCATGGTAGTTGTGGAGATGGTGGGGGGAATCGTGGACAGCGACGTGGTTATGGTCAAAGTCGTCGTAGCGGTGACGACCGGGGCAGGAGAGGCGCGAGAATTGTATGGCTGCGACCGTGGACAAGGAGTCGACACGGGGAGACGAATGGGCGAGTGGGCAGCCGCAGATGGGGAGGGAAGAAATAATCGTGGTAACTGACGCTGTGGAGGCGGCGGTAGAAGCCGTATTCTTGATTTTGCTCGTGCTCGTGGCCGTGGTCGTGCTGATCAGGCTGATTGTGCTGGTGCTGCTCGTGGTAGTGCTGGTCAGCGTCGTTCTGATATCTGTCGTGCTCGCCGTCGTCATCGGGCTGCTCGCGAAGCGGCGGTCGGAGCTTGCGCCTGACCTGGCGCTGGTCTCGCCGTTGGAATTGACGTGGCAGAAGATTGAGTTGTCGAAGCTGTCGTCTGAGGAGCCGCTGGAGTCGCCGCCGGAACAGGTGTCGAAGCCGGCTCGGAGCCGCCGGGGAAGTTTGAGTTGGTGCTGACGTCGGGGTTGGATCTGTCGTCGGAGACGGCGTCAGAGCTCGTGCCAGCGATGTCGGTCGTGCGAGTTGTCGCTTTCGTCGCCGCATTATGCTGAAAGCTGGCATTCGTAGTGTTGGAGGTGGAGGTCGATTGTTTTTCCGTCGCGCTACATGCGTTGTCGAGTCGCCACGCGGGCGTCGGCAGCATGCTTACATATGATTACAAAAGCCCTCGATGACGACAGGAGATGTAGAGAATCGTTGTAAGGCTGGCATGCCTAAAATATTGTGTTGTGTTCTGCTATAGTGTAGCGCTGCAGTGAAAAGGAAGGGGTATCACCATATCCCACCTACCGTCTCCTTCCCAAGATAGGGGCTTGAAGACCCGAGTGTAGTGCTGCAGTGAGAAAAGGGGCATACCACCATGCGCCGCCTACCATCCCTTACCCGAGAACGCACGCGTCTAGTGTGTCAGGGTGAGAGCGGTGGTCAGTGAGTTGTGGTGTCGGGTGAGGTTGTGTGGTTGGTGGAGTTTGGTTCGAATTTGTTGCGTGGGTAGGTTGTTGAAGTCTGCTGTGGGTCGGTTGTTGTGGGTCCGCTGTGGGTCGGTTGCTGCGGGTTCGCTGTGGTGAGCAGTAAGTACGTCGGCTTTGGTTCCAGATTGTTGCGTGGGCTCTGACTTGAACCTCTTACGTGAGTCGATTGCTGAGAGTTGGCTGTGGTTCGAGTGTGGTGCGTTGGTCGGTCGGTTGCTGCTGGTGGTCGTGGTCGTGCCGCTCTGCGAGGTCGTGCCGCAGGAACTGAATCCAGGGCCATGTTCAGGGAACTCGCCGTTTAACTCATGGATTCCGTCGTGCTGCCCGTGGTATCCGCCGTGTTGTCCGAGGTGGTGTTCATGGTAGCCGCCTCTGGCACGTGGTACTCGTCTGAAAGCTCGTGGCGTCCGTCGTGCTGCTCGTGGTACCCGTCGTGCTGAGTGGCGGTGGAGTTGGTGTCTGTGTCGGAATTGGTGTCCGTGTCGCAAGTGGAGGTTGATAGCTGGGGGTGGAGGTGGCGGGGGCAGGAGCTGGAGTGAGAGAAGTAGGTGCCAGTAGGAAAAGATGGGAACGGGCGGAAGTCGGTAAGATGAAAACTGGACTCAGGAGCCAAATCGTGCTCCTGCACCCAGTCGTTCTCCTCAGCGCCGCGGTGCTTCCTTTGCTGTCCAGGGCGGCACCGGAGAGGAGAGGCACGAACCTACTGCCTGAAGCGGTGGGAGTGCTCGTCGGCGGTCGTCGGCATCGACATGCACACGTGCTGCCAGTGATCTTTCTGTTGCCAATGGCCGTCGAGAGTGGGGAGCCGGAGTCGGAGACCAAAACGTAGAGTGGGAGCCATAAGGGGTCGGGGGTCTGTCGAGTGGGAGCCGGAGTGGGCAGGGTGGGAGCCGGAGTCAGGTCGTGGATCAGGGAGCGGAGGCCGACCCGAGGCGGGTCGCGCGGCGGAGCCTCGGCCCCATCCACCGTGTCTTCTCCAACGCGGCATCCTCCTTCCGCTTCACGAAGAGCAAGGTCTGGGTCCCTTCAGGCATGCGAGGTTTTTCTGGGCCCTCTGGCATGTTCACCACCTCTGGGGGGGTATCCCCCGACAAACGCAACCTTCCGTGTGCGCAGATATGGAGGCCAGAGTCGGGAGCAGGAGTCCAGCTGGAGGCCGGAGAGCTGGAGGTGGAGATCAAAAGTTGGAGCTGAAGGTGGTGGAAGGTGGATGTCAATACTTGGGTGTGGGCGCTGGGGATCGGGTGGTAGGTGCTGGCGCTGGAGACTCCGCCAGAGCCAGCGTCGGAGCTAGCATCGGTGCCGCCGACGGCGTCACTTTTTTTTTTGCGCCAGCTCCGACAGTGACGCCGACGGCGTCACTGTCGGAGCTGGCGCCAGAAGCGTTGTAGTGGGTGACGTCGGTGCTGCTGTCGGGACTGGCGTCGGAGCGGCTGCTATTGTCGGTCGCGCGCCAAAATCGAGGACTGAACTAGCGGCGCCAGAGCTTGATCGGAGTATTGACACTACTCGTTGTCGCGGTCGTGCTCGTCGGGTAGGGCGTCGGGGAAGGTCCGGAAGGGCGACGGGAAGGTCGTCGGGCTGGGCGTCTGGCCAAGCGTCGGATAGGGCGTCGGGTAGGGCGTCGGGGAGGGCGTCGGGGAAGGCGCCGGGTAGGGCGACGGGTTGGGCGTCGCGTGCGCAAACAATCGGGAAAGGAGACGGGTTGGGCCTTTCGTTGGGTGTCGGGTTGGGCATCAGCTTGGGCGTCAGGCTGGGCGTCAAGAGGAGGATGAGAAAGAGGAGGAGGAACTGAAGGGAAGGAGGGCGAGGATTGGGAAGGGACAAGGGCGGGGGGGGGCACGCCAACTCGACGAATCCGAGCGCGCCGAGACAGGCCAAGGGAAGAAAAGGACGGGTGGAAAAGGCGAGCGAGCGCGGCACGACGAGACAAACAAAGATGGAACGCAAGCGAATCACCGAAGATAAAACGCCAAGCGAATTATCGAAGACGAAGCCAGAAGACAGCGTCGTCCGACGCGACGAGCGGACGGAGATGTCCCTCCCACTCCCCAGAAACGGGGTCTTTGCCCTGCTCGTGGGCCTTAAGGTACATAGCGTCCTTGCTGGAAGCAATACCCTGGCACGGCCCCCACAGCCTAGACTGAGGGGCCGATGGCTGGGCTCGGGCACCACAGCGACGGAAAAACGCCAGGGCAGCCCCAGCCAGGCCAACGACGTGCCCACGAGCAGAGCTGGGCCCTACGGGGCCTTGAGCGGGGAGGGGACAGTCAGGAGAGAGAGCATCGCGGGCAACCCAGGGCCCACGGAGCACCAGGCCTCCCGAAGCCCGCGCACGCTTGCTGGGCGGAGGCCCATCAGCGCGGCTGGGGGCAGAAGGCCCACCAGTCCCGTCCAGGAGCACGGGGGTCAGCCGAGGCGCCTTCAGGCGCGGGCCCTCAAGGGCCTGTGGCTTCCTGCGACCATCCTTCTCCTTCCAGCCATCAGGGGGGACGGACGAGGGGGATGGGTGGGGTGGGGGGGGGGCTGGCGTCGGCTGCACATGGGACACGGCCTGACCACCAGACGACCTCGGCACCTGGGCCTGCCTGCAGGCCTCCCCGACCTCCTCGTCCCTCGTACCCTCATCCGTCTGAAATCGCACCCGCTTAAAGGCCAGAGACCGCTCAAGGACCCCAAGCTCCGATGGCGGCGGCTCCCTAGACTCCTCCGAGACACTAGTAGCTTCGGGAGGGGGGACCTCGAGAGAGCCCTCGATGCGCGCGCCTCCAGAGGACCCAGCTCCACAGAACGGCTCCAAAGGCCCCTCCCCACGGGAACACACCGAGCCCTCGGGGCCCGCCACGCTGGGCAAAGTTCCCTCGAGGCCCCAGAGGGCCGGCGCCTCGGCAACGTGACATTCTCGGAGCCTGAGGGCCCTCGCCAGGGCGGGGGGGAGGGACTGGGGAGCAGGAAGGGGAGAGGATGAGGAGGAGAGGGGAAGGGAGTGGATGGAGGTTCAGCAAGCGGTCATCGATGTCGCATTTAACAGCGATGTGCATCGCCTTTCCCCCACGTCCCCCGACAAGGCAACTGATTAGTCGTCAGAGCATGCCAAAGCTTCCAGCAATGCTTGAGGCAAAAGAAATAATGAGGGGAAGCGTATACGGAAAGGGCCTCCCATGTTTACAAGGAATTCATCATCTCCCTCCTGCCCTCATCATCATCAGCATCAGCATCAGCATCAGCATCAGCATCAGCAGCAGCAGCATCATCATCATCATCATCATCATCATCATCATCATCATCATCACCATCATCATCATCATCTTCATCATCATCATCCGTCCCATGTCTGCATCCTCGTCCTCATCCTACATTTCCTGTCTCCTCCGCATCCTTCTCAAGCTCCTGTCATCGTCCTTGTCGCCTTCCTCGTCCTCCTCCTTCTGCTTCACTACTCCTCATCCTGATCCTCCTCCTCGTCCTCCTGCCCTTCTCGTCCGTACATCCTAAGCGAGTCGCGAGTCGCGTGGGCAAGTCTGGCTAACAATCAGAAATCACCAGTGTGCAATGCGGTTGGCCAATGACCCCATCACCAGAGAGACGGCCATCGGCCCGCGGTTGCGCAATGACCCCATCGTGGCGCCCAGTACAAATCTCACCCGTGAACATACAATGCTGCCAGGTTTCAGCGAGGGGAAGTAACTGCATCCCGCATATACCCCGAGCACGGATGTTCACAATTCAGCCTAGCAGGCATCGACGTCTCGTACAGCACTGGCTACGCCTCCTACCCTTTTTCAAGACTTCGCATCGCACCACCAGGCGCACGATGGGTCGTCCAGAAGCTGTCATCGAAATTCGACTCCAACATGCGGAATGGCGCATGCGGTTCTGAAGAACGCTTGCGGGGATGCTAGCGAAACCACCACCAACGCGCCAATTTGCCGTTCACTCCTTCTCCCACTCCCCCTCCCAATCATCCCTCTCCTCTTCCCATTCCTCCTCAGCTCCTCCTCTTCCAACTCCTCCCACTCCTCCTCCTCCTCCTCCTCCTCCTCCTCCTCCCCCTCCTCCCCTCCTCCTCCTCCTCCTTCTCCTCCAATCCTCCTCCTCCCTCCTCCTCCTCCTCCTCCTCCTCCTCCTCCTCCTGCTCCCTCCTCCTCCTGCTCCTCCTCCTCCTCCCCCTCCTCCTCCTCCTCCTCCTCCTCCTCCTTCTCCTCCTCCCACTCCTTTTCCTCCTCCTTCTCCTTCTCCTCCTGCTCCTCCTCCTCCTCCTCCTCTTCTCCTCATCCGCCTCCTCCTCCTCGCCAGAGAACGGCGAGGAGGGCTGCGGGGGCGCCGTTTCGTCATCATCTTGCATCGGCCTCCTCCTGATCCCCCTCCCCTCCGTCTCCCTCTCCCCCTCCTCCTCGGGCCTTCCCCCTCCTCGGCATCCTGCTCCTCGTCCTTTTCCTTGTCCTCGTCCCTCCTCTGGGCGTCGTCGCCGAAGCGCGAGCGCAAACGGCAGACCCCCTAGTGGGCGGGGCGAGCGCTTGAAGGTCTTGCCAGAGTATTTGGCGGCATCCGCTGGCGCCACGCCGAGGGTGGGCGACAGGTTGGCCGCCGAGGCGAGGCCCGCGAGGGCCAGGCCTGGAGCAGACCCGGGGGGGGGGCTAGGAAGGACGGGGACGGGGAGGAGGGGGGGGGGAAGGGGATGGGGAGGAGGGTTTCGTTGAGCTTCACGCCATCTCGGCCTGACAGTGCCTGCAGCAGCGGCTGGTGGTGGTACTGCAAGCATTGAGGAGAAGGAAGAGGAGGACAAGCGCGAGAACGTAGACGAGGAGAAAGGCGAGGACGAGGATGCTCAGGCGGATGAGGGGCACCACGAGATAGGGAGGAGGAGGAATCGGAGGAGGAGGAGAAGGAGGAGGGGGAGGGGGAGGAGGAGGAGGAGGAGGAGGAGGAGGAGGAGGCGGAGGAGGAGAGGGAGAAAGATGAGCAAAGAAGAAGGACAGCGACGAGGACGAGGATGAGCAAAAACAGAAATGAGGATTAGGTAGAGAGGAGCAACAGCAAGAGCAGGGGAAGAGGACGACGAGAAGGACGAGCACGCGGACGAGCAAGAGCAGGAGGAAGGGAGGGAGGAGCAGGCGTGCCTGGCGAACCACGTTCCATTTATCTGCTTATAGCGGCATGCCTGTAGGAGCAGGAGGTGAAAGGATGAGGAGAGGGTCGAGGGCATAGGGATGAGGATGAACAGAAGATAAAGAGATAAGGGTGGGCGGAAGAGGGAGGGGGCATCCCGTCAGCCTGTCAGAGGCCGAGAAGTCCAAGAACTCCTCTTTGCTTTCTCCGTGTAGGTGCCGAAACCTACGCATATTTTGGCTCGCGTTTGTGATGAGGACCTGCCTTCAACGCAAACACACACACACACACTGTTTGAGCGTCGCGGGGCGGGCCAAGCCACAAACCGTTAACCGCGAGGGCGTGCACGCCAGCAATGAAGTAAACAAGTCACTCACGCGATGCAGAAGGCGAAAAGCCGGCCAGCATTAGGAAGACAAGGGGCCAGCAAGAGAAGGGCAAGCAAGGGGTGCCTCGCACAGCGAAGAAGGAAGCGAGGAGCGAGGAGCGACAGCTAACAGCCGAGAGGAACAAACGGACGGACAGGAGGGACGACTGGCCGACCGACGGAGGAGGGGGAGACGAGGGGAAGAGAGGAGGCACCACACGCCACAAGGGCAAGGAACGACACGACGAGGGACAGAAGCCAGCCGAGTGAGGCGAGGGAGGCACAGAAAGAGAGAGAGAGAGAGAAAGAAAGAGATAGAGAGAGAGAGAGAGCACAAACAAATGCACACGCACTGAGCGGCGTCGTCGAGCAGAGTGCGCGAGAGGTGACCAGCTGCAACCACAACGCAGGGCGAACGCTGGGTGGTTGGTGGGCGGGAGGCCTGACCCCATGTCGGGCCCGTGATCAGCGAACCCCTTTCTTCTCCAAGCTGGCCGCAAATAATACGCATGTGTTAGATTGTCTTCTTGTTCGCGATGGCGGCTAGCCACAAGCACACGCAGACCCTAGGCAGACAGAGCGACGACGTCCGGCAGAGCTTCGAGAGAGGCGGCCAGCTGACATCCACGTGGTAGATTCGCTTCGCCCGCGGGCCGCTTCGCCCAGACTGCTACATCCCAGAACGGCTGTCCCAGACCGCGTCGCCCAGACCCAGACCGCATCGCCTGGGATTACATCGCGCATCGCCCCAGATCGCTTCGCCTGCGAACCGGATCGCCACCAGACCAAATGAGGAGGAGCAAGATGAGGAGGGGGAGGAAGCATGAGGAGGAGTAAGAGGAGAGTCGGTAAGAAGAGGAAGCGGAGGGACAGAGAGGTAGGAGCGGAGCAAGGGCGGAAAAGGATATGACGAGGAGGGGAAGAGGGGGAGGAGACGAAGGAAGCATAGGAGGAAGAGGAGTGCGAAGAAGAAGAGGACTAAACAAGGTAGGAAGTGACAAGGACCGGGAGGGGGAGGATGCTGGCGCCTCCTTCTCCTCTTCGCTATCCTCCTCCTCCCCCAACTCCTTCTCCTCATCTTCATCATAATCGTCATCATCCTCATCATCCTCATCATCACCCTCATCCTCCTCATCATGATCATCATCAGCAGCAGCATCGTCAGCAACATCATCGTCATCATCAACATGCTTATCCCACTCGTAATCCTAAACCTAAGCATCACATCATATCATCATCATCACCATCATCAACAACAGCATCATCATCACAATCAGCATCATCAGCATGATCATCATCATCATCATCATCATCATCATCATCATCAGGATCATCATCAGCATCAACACCACCATCAACAGCATCATCATCCTAACCATTAGCATCAAATCACAATCATCAGCATCATCATCATTATCATCATCGTGACCATCACCCGCATCAGCATCACCATCATCAGCATTACTAGCATAATCATAATCCTCATCATCATCACCATCAAAACAGCATCAGCATCATCACCATCATCAGCACTATCAGCGTCATCACCATCATCATTCTCAAATCATCAGCATGAGTATCATCAGCATCATCACCATCATCATATAACAACATCGTCGTCGGTGTCATCACACTCATCAGCATCATCATCATCGTCGTCGTCATCGTCGTCATCCTCGTCATCGCCACCGCCATCAATATCACCACCACCATCATCATCAGCATCATCATCATCATCAAACGCGTCACCATCACAATCAGCATCATTAGCATCGTAATCATAATCATGATCGCCATCAGCATCATCATCAGCAGCAGCATCATCAGCAGCAGCATCATCAGCATTATCACCACCACTATCATCATCATAACCATCGTCATCCCCACCCTCATCATCGGCACCATCATCACCGACAGCAGCAACAGCATTATCGTCAACATCATCAGCATCAGCAACAGCAGTAGCAACATCAGCGTCCTCTTCAGCAGCAGCAGCAGCAGCTGCAACACCCTCATTCTCCTCATCCGCATCTTAATCCTCATCATCCTCATCATCCTCATCATCCTCATCATCATCATCATCATCATCATCATCATCATCATCATCCTCACTAGCAGCAGCTGCTGCAACAACATCATCCAAATCTAAACGCCTGCTGAAAATGAGGAGGACTAGCCAAGCGTTGAGGCGACCGTGTCTTACCGCTGCTGCGCCAACGCCCAAGCGTCCATTCTCCTTCCCTTTCCCGCCTCCCATGAGCCTCTCCCCTGCCCTGCGCCTCGTGGGCCAGGTGGCGGGAGGAGTGCCTCGAAACAAACGTTCTAGCAGCGCAGGACCGCGTGGCCACCGCATATGCCAGAGAAAGCCTAGGGGCGTCAGCTGTAGTTCCCAGGGGTCTTCGAGCCCCTGAGCAACCTCAATCTCGGAAACCTCGGGAGCACACTATCCCAGTAGTGAGCAGCAAAGAGGAGAGTAGGCAAGCGGATGGTGGAATCCCGCTTGACCAACATACTATGGTCCGTTATACCAGTGGTCGTGGGCAAGTGGACTGTAGAGCCCCACGGACCTCTCGGCTGTTTTCTCTCCTTCAAGCTCGTCCGACGTGGTCGCTGCCCTCCGACTGCTGGGAACATCGCGGCAACAGAGATGCCCCTCAGCCTGATGCGAGCCGCAATCGTGCATAAGCCACGCATCGCACACTGACGTTCGGGTGTAGCCCGATCCTAGGGGCGTGTTCTGAGTCGGTGAACTCCTGCAGCCCCCAATGGGTTCTGCTCTGATCCTCCTCCTCCTCCTCCTCCTCCGCCTCCTCCTCCTCCTCCTCCTTCCTCCTCCTTCTCGTCGTCCTAATCCTCCTCACCACCATCAGCACCATCATGATCATCTACAGCACCATCCTCATCACATCAACAACATCGTTATCAGCAGAAGCATCACCATCACCATCAGGTCACCATCAGCAGCAGCATCATCGTCATCATCAGCAGCATCATCAACATCATCAACGTCCGCATCGTCAACATCATCATCATCACCGTTAGCACAATCCGCCGATACGGCGTGTGAGTTTCAAGGGGTCTCAGCTACAGCCTCGAGGCTGAGCCTCAGCCTCTGGGGGGGTTGCCGGGGTGGCTCTGCCGGGGAAGGGGGGGGTGGTGGGGGGGGGGTACGAGTTTTCCGGCGGTCGCGGGGCGCTGCTTTTACAGAAGGCTCTAATCTCGAGGATGCGCTGAAAGGGTGGCCGCGGCCGCAAAAGTCTCTGAGGACGGTCTCAGAAAGTCCCGAGACCCCGAAAGATCGCTCGAACACGCCCAAGATGGCCCAAGAGCCTTCCAAGACGTCTGAGGCCTCCAAGAGGCCTCCCACGAGGGCCCCCAGAGGCAAAACTCGTTGATTTCATTGTTTTTTAATAGAGTTTTTGGGGTTGTCGTTTTTTTCTGCTTTCCCACGCTCCAAGACGGCCCAAGAGGCCCCCAAGACCGCTCGAAGACGGCCCAAGAGGCCCCCAGACAGTCCCAAGACGGCCCAAGAGGGCCCCAAGGCGGCCCAAGAGCCGCCCAAGACGGCCCAAGAGGCCCCCAAGACGGCCCCAAGAGGACCCAAAAGGGGGACGAAAAGCACAAAACAACTAGCCTTCCAGCCCACGAGGCCCCCAGGAGGCTACTACTGCCACTACTACTAGTTACTACTACTACTACTACTACTACTACTACTACTACTACTACTACTACTGCTACTACTACTACTACTACTACTACTACTACTACTACTACTACTACTACTACTACTACTACTACTACTACTACGACTACTACTACTACTACTACTACTACTACTACTACTACTACTACTACTACTACTACTACTACTACTACTACTACTACTACTACTACTACTACTACGACTACTACGACTACTACTACGACTACTACGACTACTACTACTACTACTACTACTACTACTACTACTACGACGACTACTACTACTACTACTACTACTACTACTACTACTACTACTACTACTACTACTACTACTACTACGACTACTACGACTACGACTACGACTACGAGCACGACTACTACTCGTACTACTACTACTACTACTACTACTACTACTACTACTACTACTACTACTACTACTACTACTACTACTACTATTGCTACTGCTACTACTAGTACTACTACTACTGCTGCTACTACTACTACTACTACTACTACGACTACTACTACTACTAATAATAGTAATACTAGTAATACTAGTACTAATACTATTGCCACTAGTACTACTACTACTACTACTAATACTAGTACTAGTATTAGTACTACTACTACTACTATTACTACTACTACTACTACTACTACTACTACTACTACTACTACTACTACTACTACTACTACGAGGGAACGCCGTGCCCGTCCGGGCCCCACGCCGTGCCCGTCCTGGTCCCACGCCGTACGCCGTGCCCGTCCGGGCCCCGCGCCGTACGCCGTGCCCGTCCGGGTCCCGCGCCCCGCGCCGTGCCCGTCCGGGTCCCACGCCCCACGCCGTTCCCGTCCGGGTTCGCGTTTGCGCGCCTCAGGAATCCCTGATGTGTATAAGCCCCTAGGGATCCTGAGGGAATCCTAAGAGAATCCTGAAATACGAGCGAATCCGAAGGGAATCCTGAAGGAATGCTCGCGAACCCGAAGGAATCCCAAGGAATCCTAGTGAATCCTCAGCGAATCCTAATGGAATCCTACGGAATCCCTGCGCAGACCGCACTCCGTTCCCGCCCGGGTTCGCGCTTGCGCGCCTCAGGAACCCCTGAAGTGTATAAGCGCCTAGGAATCCAAAAGGAATCCTAAGAGAATCCTGAAGGAATGCTAGCGAATCCGAAGGGAATCCCAAGGAAACCTGGCGAATCCGAAGGAATCCAAAGGAATCCGGAGGAATCCCACCGAATCCTCAGCGATTCCTAATGGAATGAATCCTACGGGATCCTTGCGCAGACCGCACGCCGTTCGCGCTCGCGCGCCTCAGGATTCCCTGAAGTGTATAAGCGCGTAGGAATCCCAAAGGAATCCTAAGAGAAACCTGAAGGAATGCCAGCGAATCCGAAAGGAATCCTAAGGAAACCTAGCGAATCCGAAGGAATCCTGAAGGAATCCTAAGGAATCCCACCGCACCCTCAGCGAATCCTAATGGAATCCTGAGGAATCCTTGCGCAGACCGCACGCCGTTCCCGTCCGGGTTCGCGCCTGCGCGCCTCAGGAATCCCAGGCATGTATAAGCGCCTAGGAATCGCGAGGGAATCCAAAGAGAATCCTGAAGGATTGCTAGCGAATCCGAAGGGAATCCTCAGGAAACCTACCGAATCCGAAGGAATCCTAAGGAATCCTACCGAATCCTCAGCGAATCCGAATGGCATCCTAAGGAATCCATGCGCAGACCGCACGCCGTTCCCGTCCGGGTTCGCGCTCGCGCGCCTCAGGAATCCTTGAAATGTATAAGCGCCTCGGAATCGTTGGGGGGTCCAAAGGGGGCCCTGAAAGAATGCTAGCGAACCCGAAGGATTCCTAAGGAACGCAAGCGAGTCCTCATCGAATCCTAATGGAATCCTAAGGAATCCCTGCGCAGACCGCGCGCCGTTCCCGTCCGGGTTCGCGCTTGCGCGCCTCAGGAATCCCTGAAGTGTATAAGCGCTTAGGAATCCCGAAGGAACCCGAAGGGAATCCTGAAGGAATGCTAGCGAACCCGAAGGGGATCCTCAGGAAACCTAGCGAATCCTAAGGAATCCTAGAGGAATCCCAAGGAATCCCACCGACTCCCCGGCGAATCCGAATGGAATCCTGAGGAATCCCTGCGCAGACCGCACGCGCCGCTCCCGTCCGGTCTCGCGCTTGCGCGCCTCAGGAATCCCTGAAGTGTATAAGCGCCCAGGAATCCTGAGGGAATCCAAAGGGAATCCTGAAGGAATGCCAGCGAATCCGAAGGGAATCCTAAGGACACCGAGCGAATCCGAAGGAATCCCAAGGAATCCTAAGGAATCCCACCGCACCCTCAGCGAATCCGAATGGAATCCTGAGGAATCCTTGCGCAGACCGCACGCCGTTCCCGTCCGGGTTCGCGCTCGCGCGCCTCAGGAATCCCTGAAGTGTATAAGCGCCTAAGGATCCTGAAGGAATCCTAAGGGAATCCTGAAGGATTGCGAACGAATCCGAAGGGATCCCTGAGGGGACCTAGCGAATCCGAAGGAATCCTAAGGAATCCAAAGGGATGCCACCGAATCCTCAGCCAATCCGAATGGAATTTTAAAGAATCTTTGCGCAGACCGCACGCCGTTCCCGCCCCGTCTCGCGCTTGCGCGCCTCAGGAATCCCTGAAGTGTATAAGCGCCCAGGAATCCTGAGGGAATCCAAAGGGAATCCTGAAGGAATGCTAGCGAATCCAGAGGGAATCCTAAGGAAACCTAGCGAATCCGAAGGAATCCTAAGGAATCCTACCGCATCCTCAGCGAATCCTACTGGAATCCTGAGGAATCCTTACGCAGACCGCACGCCGTTCCCGTCCGGGTTCGCGCTTGCGCGCCTCAGGAATCCCTGAAGTGTATAAGCGCGTAAGAATCCTGAGGGAATCCTCAGGTAATCCTGAGGGATTGCGAGCGAATCCGAAGGGGACCTTAAGGAAACCTAGCGAATCCGAAGGAATCCCAAGGAATCCTAAGGAATCCCACCGAATCCTCAGCGAATCCTAAGGAACCCGCCTGCCCTTGGGGCCCGAGGGCTCCCTGGGCGTGCGTGCCGAATGCAAACGCCCAGGGACGAGTATTGATCCGCGCGGCGAATTGAATACGTGATCGTTTGCAGAATCCCCGTCATGATTATCACCATCATCATCATAGCCATCATCCGAATCATCATAAACACCATCATCATAATGATAAGCACCAATATCAGCTGCATCATCGTCGTCATCATCATCACCACCATCATCGTCATGAACCGTGGTCATCACCAACATCATCACAATCATCACCAGCAGCATCATCACCATCATAATCATCATCATCGCCACCATCATCATCATCGTCATCATCGTCGTAATCAACATCATCATCATCGTCATACATCATCATCATCATCGTCACCGTCGTCATCATCATAATCCGCATCATCGTCATCATACGAACCGTCACCATCACCACCATCATCATCGTCATCATCGTCATCATCATCACCTTCTTCAACATCATCATGCTGTAAGCTCCCAATGCAACCTCAGCAGGCATCTATTGGGCAACCCAAATGCAAGCAATGCAAAATAATGCAAAGCAACCCAATGCAAAGCAATGCAATATTTTCGGAACCGAACACGGCGGGCCCGGACGGAAACGGCGTTCGCTTCCATCATGCTCGATTGTATGGACGGGGGGCGGCAAGTTAAAACCGAAAACCGAGTGTCAAACTCTTAGGGTAAATTTATGTTCTGGGATCCAACATCGGCCACCTAAACCTCTGAAACATTTACTTCAGTGCCAAAGAAAGAGAAAGACTGCGACACATCTTCAGAACAGCGGTTCACTACTACACGGCCCGGACGGGCACGGCGTTACCTACTACTACTACTACTACTACTACTACTACTACTACTACTACTACTACTACTACTGCTACTACTGCTACTACTACTACTACTACTACTACTACTACTACTACTACTACTACTACTACTACTACTACGTTGGTTCCAGGTGGGAGTTACTGTGGCCAATTCTGCCTAAGCGGGAACGCGTTCCCTTAAGGGTTGCGAACTCCTCCAGATTTAACATGTGATACCTTTACATATTACATTTTATTGAACGGCCAGCGCGGGCCACAGTAACTCCCATCCAGCCCCGCGACGGGCCACACTAACACCCAACGGGCCACGCGAACACTAACACCCAACGGGCCACAATAACAACCGGTCGCAGCCCCCGGCCCCGACCGGCCCCGGCCCCAGCCCTGGCCCCGGCCCCGGCCCCAGTCCCGGCTTCGGCCCTGGCCCCGGCCCTGGCCCTGGCTCCCAGCCCGCTCCCGCCCCGGCCCTGGCTCCGGTTCCGGCTCTGGGCCCTGGCTCCCGGTCACGGTTTTGGCCCTGGCCCAGGTTCCGGCTTCGGCTCCAGTCCCAGTCCCGACCCCGGCCCCGGCCCCGGCTCCGACCCCAGTCCCCGGTCCCCGCTCTCGGTCCCGGTCCTGGCCTCCTCCTCCTCCTCCTCCTTCTTCTTCTTCTTCTTTTTCTTCTTCTTCTTATTCTTCTTCTTCTTCTTCTTCTTCTTCTTCTTATTTTTCTTCTTATTATTCTTCTTATTATTCTTATTTTTCTTCTTCCTCTTCTTCTTCTTCTTCTTCTTCTTCTTCTTCTTCCTTCTCCTCCTCCTCCTCCTCCTCCTCCTCCTCCTCCTCCTCCTCCTACACCTCCTCCTCCTCCTCCTCCTCCTGCTCCTCCTCCTCCTCCTACACCTCCTCCTCCTCCTCCTGATCCTCCTCCTCTTCATCCATCATCGTCATCGTCATCGTCATCGTCATCATCTTCTTCATCATCATCATCATCATCATCATCATCATCATCATCATCATCATCATCATCATCATCATCGTCGTCGTCGTCGTCAGCAGCAGCAGCATCAGCATCAGCATCATCATCATCATCATCATCATCATCATCATCATCACCATCACCACCATCATCATCATCATCTTCATAATCAGCATCATCTTCCTCATCCTCATCCTCATCCTCATCCTCCTCCTCCTTATCATCAGCATCATCAGCATCATCATCAGCAGCATCAGCATCATCATTCTAGTTTTTCTTGCTCCTCCTCCTCATCATCCTCCTCGTCATCAGCATCATCATCATCAACACCACCATCATCATCAGCATCATCATCAGCATCAGCAGCATCATCATCATCATCATCATCATCATCATCATCATCGACCTCAACCTCTTTCTCATCCTCGACCTTATCCTCGTTCTCATCATCCTCTTCCATCCTCCCTCCTCATTCTGCTCTTCCTGTAATTCCTCCTCCTCCTCCTCCTCGTCCTCCTCCTCAGCCTCCTCCCCATCCTCCTCCCTCTTCCATCCTCCCTCCTCCCTCCTCCCTTCCCCTCCTCCCGCCTCCTGCCTCCCTCCTCCCGGTAGTCGTAAGTAGTCCGTTGTTGGCGTCACCATCGTCGTCATCGTCGTCGCCGTCGTGTCAACCACCAGCATCTGGAGGGTCTCGGATCGGCGGCACGGGCCGGAGGCCATTCAAATAATAATCATCATCACAAACATCATCATCAACACCAGCACCGTCATCATCGTCATCATGACCATCAACTTCATCACCACCATCATCGCATCGCCATCGTCATTATAATCGTCATCCTCATAATCATCGTCATCGCCGTCGCCGTCGGCACCGTAGTCGTAGTAGTCGTCGCATTCGTCGTCGTCGTCGTCCGTCGCCATCGCGGTCGTAACAATCACCATCATCAACAGCGTCGGAATCACCACAATCACCATCGTCATCTTCACCACCACAATCATCATCACCATCGTCATCCACATCATCATCAACACTGACATCATCATCATCATCATCATCATCATCATCATCGGCATCATCGTCACCATCACCATCATCGTCATCATCATCATCAACAACCTCATCTTCATCCCCATCCTCATCGCCATTGTCGCCGGCGGCGACGTAGTCGCAGCTATAATCACCGCCGAAGTCATCATCATCACCACAACCATCATCATCCTTATCAACAGCATGATCATAATCCGCCGACCCCTCGTGGGTCTCCAGGCGTGTGAGATTGTGCCCTCCTCCATAATCCCGCCCCAGGGCCCCCAAACGGGGATTTTGACCCCCCCCCGGCCCCGGGCGGCCCCGGACCGAACGCGCCACAGGGTTCCAAAACTCACCAAAAAGGCACCAAAACTCTACAAAAAAGTACCAAAACGCTCCCCGGACGGCCCCCGAGACCACGATTCGCCGACACAGCGCCCCCAGACGCCCACGATGGCCCCCACGCGGTCTCTGAAGCGACCGAAACGCCCCAAAAAACGGCTCCTAAGATGCGCTCCGAGAGGGTCGCAAGAAACAACAATCTACACATTTCCTTCGGAAACCAGGCATTATTCCGCACGCTCGCCCACTCGGCAATCACAGCGTCCACGACAAGCGCAGACACCTTCAGCATCTCTCCCAGACGACCAAAAGGGCCCCAAAGCAAGGTCGCTGAGGGTCCAACGACAGCCCACGAAGCCCCCAAGACAGCCCAAGAGGGCCCCCAGACGGCTCCAACACGGAGTTCGCAGGGCACCTTTTTCGAGCCTTCGGCCCCAAGACGCTCCCAGCCTGCTCCAAGAAGGCCCCGACAAGGGCCTGCGGGACCTCCCAGAAAACCTCCGAGGCCTCCAAGAAGCCACGAGGAAGTCCCCAAGAGGCCCCAAAACGACCTGCAAGACGACCCCGTCAGGCCTCGCACGAGATCTTCTTTACCATCCGTGTGGCCGCCTACCTATATCCCGCGCAAGGTGGCGGGATGCGCCGCGTCCCATTCGACAACGACTCGTCCAGATTTTGGGCCGCCGCATGCCGTCTATGGGCGCGGGTGTTGACAGGCATTTTCCCGAAATCGTCACTCCTCCTTCTCCTCCTCCTCCGAGGACCCTCCTCCGCTTCTCCCCCATCCTCCCCCTCTTCCTCTTCCACTTTCTCCTGGTTGGTACCATGTCACCATTTCCGCGCTTCACCATCAACAACATCACCACCAACATCATCATCGCCATCACCCGCACCATGACCACCGCCATCACCATCACCACCACCACGGATCACCATCACCACCGCCACGGATCACTGTTTTGTCGCGTGTCTGGACACATGTGATGCAACCCGCATCCGCCAACCCTATTCGGGGACTCCAAACGTGTAAGATTCGCCCCGCGGACGGCCCCACACGCCCCCGGACTCCTTCGGGGATGGCCCCGAAGAGCCTCGAGCCCGCCCACCCAAAGAAACAAGACAACATAAGTATGCCCCAGGATAGCAACACGACGTCCCCAAGCCGATCAAGGGGTCGGCGGATGTGGCGTAATCCTATATAATCATCATCATAATCATCAGCATCATCATCACCACCCCCACCAACATTGTCATCACCATCACGACCATCATCATTAGCAACAGTCGCCTCATCGTCAACATCACCCTCATCATCAACCTCCCTATCATCATCAACAACAATATCATTATCACCTTCATATCCGTCATCAGCATCATCATCATCATCTACATCACCACCACCACAGCCACGATCAACATCACCATCAGAGGAATGGTCGCTACCATCGCCACCACCACCATTACCAACCGCATCGTCATCATCATCACCAGCATCATCATCATCAACCTCATCCTCATCCTCATCGCCGTTGTCGTCGGCGGCGACGTAGTCGTCGTCGTAGTCGTCACCATAATCACCGCCAGTGCCATCATCATCACCACCATCATCCTTATCTTCTTTCTTTCTTTCGAAAGAGACAAAGCTCCACGAAGCTACCCTGGGACCCGAGTGCACAAGAAGAGGCACGCAACTAATTTGCGCGATACTCATTCACTCTCTTGAACCACCGGACTCGAGGGTGGCACTTTCCAAAGCAATGGCCTCAGCTAAGAAAGAACTTATTGGCTCGGCGAAATAGATACCGGCTGCCACCATGGGGACAAACTTCTCCACGCCATTGATTTCAGAAATCGCCGTAATTATCCAAGCGCTCGCGGAACAAGTCGCTCTCGTCCCACCATCTGAGAACACCGCAATGTTGCTGCCCGGCAAGATGAGCTGATTCCGTTTTTCCCTCCACTCGCCTTTGATCACGTCCACAGTGTGGTTGCACAAGTAGTCTGCCACTGCGTCCTTTTCCCTGTTGACCTAGCGCACGGGGTCGTTCGCGGCCTCCGGCGGCAGTCCCCCCAAACAGACGACCTCGCAGATATTGTCCACGATACGGTGCATGACCGGCCTGCAACCGTTGTTCAACAAATCCATGTGGCCGCACACGATCCGCTGCAACGGCTGGCAGTCCACGAGGAAAAGAAATCTGTCCTGTGGCGCGTCCCACTGAAGACCCAGCTGTTGATCCACTGCAGGTTCCTCGAACTGGTGCTGTCCAGAGCGTTGGGGCGTGATCTCCGGGGCGTCATCATTATAATCATCATCATAATCATCAGCATCATCATCACCACTCCCACCATCATTGACATCACCACCACGACCATCATCATTAGCAACAGTCGCCTCATCGTCAACATCACCCTCATCATCAAACTCCCTATCATCATCAGCAGCATTATAATTATCACCTTCATAACCATCATCAGCATCATCATCATCTACATCAACATCACCACGGCCACAGTCAACATCACCATCAGAGGCATCGTCGCTACCATCGTCACCACCACCATTACCAACCGCATCGTCATCATCATCAGCATCATCATCATCACCACCACCACCACCACCACCACCACCACCACCACCATCATCATCATCATCATCATCATCATCAGCATCAGCATCAGCATCATCATCATCATCATCATCATCATCATCATCGTCATCGTCATCATCATCATCATCATCATCATCATCATCGCGATCATTGTCGTCATCGTCATCGCCATCGCCATCACCGCCGTTATCACCAACATAATCATCAACACCAGGAGCTGCATCAGTCTCAGCACCATCATCAGCATCAGCATCAACACCAGCATCATCCTGATCATCATTATTTTCATCCCCATCATCATGATCAGCATCAGCATCAACACCATCGTCGGCATCAGCGTGGTGACCAGCCCTTTACATCAACATCAGCATCATCATCATCAACAACATCATCATCGTCGTCATCACCGTCATCATCAGCATCATCATCATCCGCACCCGTATCCTCATCCTGCCTCGCCTCGTCCTCCGTCTTCTTCTCCTCCTCCTCATCTTCTATTCATCCCCCTCCCCCCCAGCAGTCCTGTCATCCTCCTCGTGCCTTTCGAAGGGGCGCGACGAGGAGGGGGGCACACTGCCCGCTGCCCCCGAGCAGTCCCCCCGAGCAGCAAAGCGGCCCGCGCGCCTGCCGCGAGCGCGCGGCGCAGAGGCATCGCGCGCGCGTCTGCCCCCGAAAAAAAACAAAAACGGGGAACTCCGCGGCGCGCCGGTGGCCGCTCGGAAATGCGGCATGCGGCAGGAGGCGGAGGAGCAGGGGGTGGGGATCAGCAGCAGAGGGAGACAATGACGAGCACGAGGATGATGAAGGGGACTCTTCCCACCGCGCCCGCCGCCCAGCGGGCGCGCCGAACGCGCCTCCGAAGGGGCAGCGAGAGAAGGCCGTGCCTGGCATGGGCAGGGCTGGGGTCTTTCTCTCATCTCCCTTCTACCCCTCCACCAACCCCACCCCGAGTACCTCTCCCCTCCCCTCCTGGCCTTTCTCGTCCCCAGCCCCCCCCCCAAACCCCTACCACCATCGGCTGGTGACAGAGCTGTCCCAGCAACGCATGTGTAGTTGCCAGTAACGCATCGCGCGGCCCATTCCAAAAATTCAGCTCGCAACGAACAGGATGGAGCCCGAGGTGTGCCAAATCGGGGGGCCGCTACCACATGCGCCCGTGCCCAGTCGCGCGTTCGGTGGAACTCCCGATCTGTGGCATCAAAACGTGTGAACGGTTACCGTGATTTGGCGGCGAAGCCCTGCGCCAGCGCAAACTGGGTCATTCGGTGGAACTCCCCATGGGGGTCACGAAAAGTGTGAATGGTGTACCGAAATCAGGCAACGCCGTCATGCACCAGCGCCTGGAACTCCCTGTCAGACCACGAAACGTGCGATCAATGTGCCGAAATGGGTGAGGTAGCGCCATGCCGACCATGCCATTGGGGCCGTGGGTGAAGCTCCTACGGGGCCACGAAACGCATCAGCGGCATGCCGAAACGAGCGGGGAGACGCATGCGAACTTGCCCACCGGTCGCAAATGGGACTCCCTACGGGGCACGAAACGTGGGAGGGGTGTGCAGGAAAATCGTTGCGCACCACGCACGCGATACTTAACCCCAGTGCTTCTCTGACCAAGTCCGTCAGCGTCTGAGAAAACCCCTGAAACACACTGTTTCAACAATAATTTCAAGGCACCCCTTGGGCCTGGGGAGGTGGCGGCCCCAGGGATGTGATCATGAGCTCTGGGGGCGCACGTTGTGAAAACAATGCGTCGGAGTCTGGGCAGGTCCTTCAGGTTTGCGCGTGACTGCGTCCACGCCTCCGCCGCAGGCTTGGATGAAATGTAGGACGGCTTTTCGACTGCCACGCGCGCAGAGACATGGTCTCGGAGCGGCGATCCAACGCGCCGCAGCCTGAACAACTGCCTCGCAGACACTAAGCTACAAGGGGGGCGCGAAGGTCAGAAATGCAAAGAGCGGGAGGGGAACCCGCCTGACAGGCGAGACGGGGGTGGGGAACAGACATGAGGAGAGCAAGAGGCGCAGGGCACAGAGGAAAAGGGGCAGGACGACGACAGGAGGTGGAAGGGAGGAAGGAAGAAGAGAGAGGAAGAGAGAAAGAGAGAGAGAGAGAGAACAACAAAAAACGAAAAGAGAGAGAGAGGGAGAGCGAGAAAGCGAAAGAGAAAACAACGACAAAACGCAATAAAGAGACAGAGAGCGCAACGAATCGGGCGGGGTGTCCGTCCTGGCGCGCGGACTACTCACGCCTGCTGCGCCCGCCTTTTTTGCGGGAGGTGCCGCATGCGAGTGGCAGGGGCTTTCAAACAAACAAAAAACTTCACCCCTGGCGTGGTCGAGCGGGACATCGACTGGAAACACATGAAAGGGTTTGGCGACGAAGGCGTGACACCCCCCTCTGCGCGCACGTGCTGCACGGAGGCACCGGCTTTTAGCGCGCTTTGGCATGCTCGCCTCGATGCCCTGGTGAAGAAGGCGCCGCGTTGGGGCATACCCCTCGGAGGCCCCGTGCCAAGTCTGCAGAACAAGTTGCCAGGTGTTCTCGCACTGCAAGAAAAAAGAAAGGCGAGCGCTTGTGCGCTAGCGCTGAGCAGCAAGTCGCGCCTGGAGATTATCTTGGAATGAGACAGGCGCGCGAAAAGCCAGTTGGAACTCGTTCCGAGCGGACTGCGCTCTTTGGCTGTCAATGAAGGGTCTTGACTGTTCCTGGGTGCTGCGCAGCGTGCATGCGAGACTGGAGGCGCGCTGTTGCAGCGCCGCAATGCGCGCGGTTGCAGCAGCTTCCCGGTCCAGGGCAGACTGTTGCCTGGCAACGGTGAGGCGCTGCACGAGGGCACGTCTCCGATCGATCGGCTGCGCTGGTGTCGCTGAGGCACCTGCGCCCTGGCGGGCGGTACTCGGGCCCTTGGTTCCCGTTCCCTGGTGGGGCAAGATGTGCTGTGCTGGGGGACTGGGCGCACTCCTGCACCGGCCAGCCCTGTGGGTTGGGGAGACGGTGCTGGGCCACAGGGGGGGCGCAGTCCGCGACCCCTCGCCCGCCGCGCGCAGGTCCCCCCCACAGGCCACTGGCGCCTGAGGCGTGGCCCTGGCGGGCCTTCACCTCCTGAGGTGCCGTCGCCTGCTGCCTGGTGTGGCAAAGGAGTGTACTTTCGTCGCCCGCGTCGCGGCCATCCCTGCGGCTTCCTGGCGGGGAGGGATTGTCTGTCGGACCTGGCGCGCGACCCCGTTGTCGGGAAGGACATCCCGCGGATTGTCGAGGTCGCCGTAGTAGCCGGGACCTGGTGGGCCTTGCGAGTGAAGCGGGTCCGCGGGCGAGCCTGGCGGCTCATCCCCCCCGCCCCCCTCCGGTGAAACGGTTAGGTTTCATACGGCTGAGTTCCGATCTGGAGTAGCCGGCTCGTCCGTCGGGCAGGGGCAGCGCGCGGTGGCGATCGTCGCACTTAGCGACCGCGGTGCTGCGGGGGTCAGCCGCGGATGCACGCCGCCACTTGGCCGCATCGATGGCATACTGCGGCAGGGATTGCAGACGTGCCCCAGCCGTTGCTGGCTCGTCAGCGCGGCGGTCAAAGGCCTCGGCAACCGGCGAGACGCGGCCTTCGCGAATTCCTTGCTCCACGAGATTGCCTTCAACCGTTGGACCTTGAACATGCCAGGTTTGGTCTGGACCACCCAGCGCATTCTTCGCCAGAGGTCAGCTTGCGAGCCCTTGGTCTGCGGTGAGCTTATTTCCAGGGGGCCCTTGATGCTGTCGACCACCTCTGTGTTGTCCACGAAGAAGCGAACGGGCCTCTCTGCGGTGGCGGCGAGGTGGAGCAGCGCCAAGGTTTCGGCACGTTGCGCTGACTGCGCCAGGCCATGCATTCGGGGGGAGTTGTTATCATGGATGGTCTGGCCCGTAGTGCACTGGGAAACCTGCCCCATCCACAGTCGCGCAGGCCCACCTAGCACCCGTGTTGGGGTCAGTTCATTCTTCAAAGTGGTCCTCCTCTTGGCCCTCTGGCGGCAGGGATGGGCTATAGGAAATCGTACTGGGCCAGGTTGGCCTGAAGGTCGAGAAACTGCACGACTTCTCGACTTCTTCCAGAAGCCCACAGTGCCGTGTGCGCGGCGGGAGGTCTCTCCATTGCACATCAGAGATCCTTGCAGTCGCAAGCCCAGCATGAACATCTCCAGACGACGTGTTCGCGTGTTCCTGATTCTCCTCACCTTGGTGCACCATCGGCACCGAGACTCCCGCTTGCAGTTTCCTCTGTTGGGCGTGGTCCTCGCCAAAGAGGTAGTTGCACGGGATGCCGAGTTGCCGCGCGACCACGACAGGCCCGTGCCCCAGTCGTCACACATCGTGCCGAAGGCTGGCCAGCTCCAATCCAGATGGGCGATGGCTCGCCAGACTTTGCATATCGGGCCGCACCCTTGGAAGGTTATGCGTGTGGCTGAACGGCCCCTGGGGCGGATGGCGGCAAACAGCGCGTCGTTGTGAAGGTTGTGCGCTTTCGCGCTGGTGGCTTGGACGTCGGCACCAGCGGCGCACATGCTTGCCACCAAGGACCTTGCGGAGCAGGGCCTTGCGCGGGTACCTTCGGAGGAGGCCGTGTTCGGCTTCGGCCCGTTCGGTTCCGGCCCGTTTCGCCTCCTGCCTGTTTCATCCTGGCCCGTTTCGGCATCGGCCTGTTGCGTCCCAGCCCGTGCCGACCCCAGTCCGTTTCGTCCCGGTATGTTTTGGCTTCGGCCCGTTTCGGCTTTCAGGTTCGCGCTCGCACCCCTGCCGGAAAAAATGCTGTCTTCTCTGAGGACGTCAAAGACTAACGAGTCGGGGTGGAGCGCCTGGACTCCCCATATGAGCTCAACGTCTGCCCATCGGTTGGCATCGCCGTGGACCTTTCGTGCTCACCGTGCCATGATTGGTTTGACCTTGACACTTTTCCTGTGCACTTCAGACATGCACACAAGAACGTACCGCCAACCGTTTCTGACCGTCTTCCTGCCGAGGCTGCGGCTGCTTGCATAATTAAACTCTACATAACCTATTGCCTTGAAGAGCGGCCTGCCTGGGTAAATGGAGGCTCACCCCTGATGGTGGCCATCGGCGGAGCCCTGGTAGGTTGCCGTGGGTGCCTGTATCCTCTGGTGCGGTGGCGTTAACGCTGTTGTAAGGCCAGCTGGAGGGCCAGTGGCCGTCTGTAGGCAGGTCCCCGTGCGGGACAACATGAGTGACCCCCTGGGTGGGCGAGGAGACATGGTGGCTCGCTCGCCTTGGCGGTGCCTGGAAGCGGCGAGCCTATGGCGTGTGACTGTCTCGGTCTGTCTGGCCCGGCCTGTCTGTTTGCAGTTGCTTCCCCTCCCCTCCTTGTCCTCCCCCTCCCTCAGCTTCTGCTCGTTGCTTCACTTCCTTTCCTTTCCTCCTGTTCCCTGCCTGTTGTCTCCGCCTGGCCCCTCTTCTGCCTGCCCACCCGTCACGCCGGCCCTGGCCTCCCGCCCGGACGCTCGTCATCGTCTGCCTGCTTCTCCCCTCCTCGTCCTCTTCCGCTGGACAGCGCAGCCTGTCCGGGACCAGCGTGGCGGCATGTAGGGCTTCGGCAGGTGTAGCGGCGGCGGGTCCCGTTCAGAAGCCCAGTGGAAGCTCAAAGGCCTTCGCGTTTGGTCTCTGCCCAGCCTCGTTTCGTCTTTCCCGCCTGTCCACCTTCACATCTTCAGAGGGTCGTCGGCAGGGCTCCTGCGGGCCGACGAGGGCTAAGATCCTCAGAACTTCCTTGCGGTTGTTTTGCTCCGCGAGTGCTGTGGGGGCATGGACTGTCCTCTTTCGACACCTCCCACGAGGCGGTCATCGCCATCAAAGCGAACCGCCGCCACAGAGGCCGCGCGCAGCCGCCTACGCCATAAGGCAGCACTGCGACAACGGCGCGGTACTTCGAGAACCAGCCCGGACTCGGACGTAGAAGAGTACCCGCCAGAGCACGAACCGATGCCACAGCCAAGAGATGTCGACGAGCGCGACGGCGACGCGAAGGGCCTGCAGCAAGCCACAACCATCCCGAGGTAAGCGCCACCATTGTTTTTTGTGTCTTCGCGCGTCACGTATTACAGCCGCAGGAGACCATGCCTCGGTCTCTGTTGCTCGTCTCGCGTGGCTCTGCAGTCTCGCGAGCCTCTGCTGGTAGGAATGGCCTGATGCTGGCGATGTGGTCGCAGATCCATGTGGGACTCCCATGTGTGGAGTGCCTACAGCTGGGCTGCCAGTGTTGTAGGCTTCGGGAGCCGCATCGACGTTATGACTGTTGGAACTACGTATGCCGGCCCATCCGATGATGAGCACACCACATGAGCACATCCATCGGTTTGCTGGGTCGTTTCCGTCTGGTTTCGAGGACCATTCGAGTGCTTGGTACGTACCCATATCCCTGGTAGGTCATCGTTGACGTGAGCTCTCCTTCGCCAAGGTGCGTCTGGTCCCCAGCTGCAACTGGTGGTGTTGATGGACTACGTGGCGCATGCCAACTGATAGTGCAGGAGAGAGACAGGGAGAGAGAGAGAGAGAGAGATGGAAGGAGCGAGAGGGAAGGAAGGAGGGAGAGCTACAGGGAGATGGGCGGAGTTAGCAGGAGATAGTAAGGACATACGACATGCAGTAAGAGGTAGAGGTATAACGATCCATGAACATAAGTAAAACAAACAGAGGGAGGCTGAAAGAGAGAGAGAGAGATAGAGAGTGTTAGAGAGCGAGAGGCAACGAAACAGAGAGGGATCTAGATGCATATATAAAGGTATAGGTCCACATACATCTATGTATACACATATATATATAGCAACTGTGGCCAAAAAAACAGCGTTTCTCTCGCACATGTGGCCCAAAAACAGTGTTTCTCGCAGTATAGGTTGAGCAATATATGTGGTGCGATCGATGTGGTGCAATACATGGTGTGCACTCTGTGTGGTGCAACACTTGTTGTGCTATCAATGTGGTGCAATAGATGCGGGTTAATGTATGCTGTGCACGCTAAATGGTGCCGTCCATGTTGTGCTTTATGTGCGGTGCCATCGTATGTGGTGCGCTCGATGTGGTGCGATAGATGATGTGCTATACATATGGTACAATCGACGCGGCTCTACATGTATGTATAGGTGTGTGCGTGTGTTGTACGCTATGTGGTGCAGCCTAAGTGTTACAACCTATTTGGTGCTATAGTTGTGGTGCAATCTACGTGATGCAATACATGGTGTGCACTCTATAGCGTGCAATCGACGTGAAGCAGTACATGTGCTGCGACCTATACAGTTCAATATATGTTGTGCAAGCTACGTGGTGCAGCCTAAGTGGTGCAACGTATGTTGTGCTGTCCATGCTGTGCACTCTATGCGGCGCAATCTGCGCCGTGCAATCAGAGTGGTCCCATGTGTGTCGTGCACTCTACGTGGTGCAGCTTACGTGGTACAGCCCACGTGGTGCAAAATATGCGGTGTAGTCTATGCAGTGCAAGCTAGATGATGCCATCTATGTGATGCAATAGATGCGGTTACGATATTTGTGGTGGAACCTATGCGGCGCAATATTTGTGGAGCAGTCTATGCGGTGCAAGCTATGAAGTGCAATCCAGGTCGGCGACGAGGCGGCGACGGGGCGGCGACGGCGGCCAAATAGCAACAAGACCGACGACACGGCCCAGGCGACAGGCGGCTACGAGGCGGCGACGGGGCGGCGACGGGGCGGCGACGGCGGCCACATAGCCGCCAGATTGAAGACAAGGCCTAGTTACTTACAAACAGAAGAGCGGTGAGAACCCCTAAGTGCCATCACGCTTTGGGCAACACAAGGTTCGCAAAAACATAGACGTCTATCTCTACACATGTGTATGAAACATCTAAAAAGAGAGAGAGAGAGAGAGAAGAGAGAGAAGAGAGATAATAGAGAGAGAGAGTGAGAGACAGAGGGAGAGGTGAGAGGGAGCATGGGGCATGGAATGGGCACAAGAGCTAGAAGACTGCACGGACATATGCACGGATGCAGCAATCCGGGGGTCGCCCGCGCCCAGGCCCCTGGAGGGCGGCCGGGCACCCCGAGTCAATTGCGCTTGGGGTCGATTGCCCACCAGCGACGACGCTAGCTGAACGTGCAAATTGAAGTGACACAGGGCCCGAGTATGTATTCAATACTCCCCCGCTCCGCCTCCTCTCCCGCCCCCGCTGCACCTGGACCCCCCCTCCCCAACAGAAAAATCAACAACGGGTGGCTCAGCGCTAACAGGTTCGTTGGAGCTTGAGACTGTCCCAAAGCACATCTGGAGCCAAAACCCCCCGGCGCAGCCTGCGCCCTTTGCGAGCCCCACAATGGCCATTTGGCGGCCGTCAGCAACCCCCCAACCCACGCCTCGAGATCCTGGTCATAACCCACAATCGTTCCCCAGGAACTCGCAGACTTCACTGAATCCCACGCTGATTCCGCTGCTAACGGGAAACTGCGCATCAGCTAGGAGAGGGAGCAGCAGCAGGGAGAGGCCAAGGACGAGCAGCAAAGAGGAAGGGGGAGGGCCTCATCTTCATCTTCCCCCCTCCTCCCTGCTGCTTCCCCTCGCTGCTCGTCCATACCACCCCACTCCTTCTGCCTGAAACTGCCCCATCCGTCCCTGGAAAGGAAGCAGAAGGAGAAGAAGATGAGAAGGACCGGAACCTCCTTCTCCTCATCCCAACCTCCTCCTCCTCGTCCTCTGCCTGTTTCTCCTCTTGCTATCTACGCCGTCGAGCAAGCCGCACCACCTTTATCGCGCACCTCCTTGTCGCACCCCAAGGCGAGTCGGTAGGGCGGGCTGGGCGTTTCGCCTCATACTTCCGCACCATGCACGCTCCCAAAACTTACGGCTTTGCAGCAGCTTCACGGATGGAGGGCGGGCCGCTTTCAAAATGCGGCTCTCGCCTTGGCGCAGCGCGCATTCGTCTTATTTGCAGGCGTTCCAGAAATGGAGGGCGGGCCGCTTTCAAAGTGTGGCTCTCGCCATAGCGCCGCGCACATTCGTCGTACGCATTTGGGGGGGCTTCACGGGTGGAGGGCTGTCTGATTTCACAATGTGGTCCTCGCGTCAGCGCCGCGCATATATACTCGTCTTAAACATCTGCAACAGTTTGACGAATGGAGTGCGGGCCACTTTCGAAGTGTGGCTCTCGCCTTAGCGCCGCGCCCATTCGTCTGCTAAGTTCGTTTTCAGAATTTACACAATTGACTGGTTTCACACTGCTAAAGTTCCAGAACTTGCTGTTTGGCACGATGTCGGAATGTCAGGGCGCAAAGGTACGTTGATTTGCGGTGGTGCAGTCCAGGGAGTGGCGTTCTGGCACGATTCAGGATCTTCAAGAGCAGCAGCAACTGGGATTCGTAGCGTAGAAGTCCCGGGATACGCGTTCTGGCACAATTCAAGATGTTCAAACGGTTGTTTTCCAACGGGGCACTTCCCTCAGTGAAAACGAATCCTTGTAGGGGCCAACGGGGAGGGAGCCTTGAGGGTTTATTGCGATATCGCTGTTGAGTCTTAGGTCTGCACTGGTCCTCCTCATCCTCCTCCTCATCATCATCGTCGTCATCATCATCACCACCATCATCATCAACATCAACATCATCATCATCATCATCATCATCATCATCGTCATCATCATCATCACCACCACCACCACCATCATCATCATCATCATCATCATCATCATCATCATCATCATCATCATCGTCGTCGTCGTCGTCATCATCGTCATCATCATCGTCATCGTAGTCATCGTCATCATCTTCACCAGTATCATCTCCTTCCTCCTCGCTGCTCATCCTCATCCACGCTGCTCCTCCTGCACATCCCCCTTCTCGACGTGTTGGCCCCCGCCAGTGGCTCAGGTGGGCTTCTGAGCGGGCCCGGCGACGAGCGTCGACAGGCCCCCGAAGACGAAGTCGCGCCCCCCTGCGTCAGGCGCACCGCTCTTCCTCCTCCTCTTAATCATAAGCAGCCGTCCCTCCTAAGCCTGCGCCCCCTCCGCCATTGGTCCACCCCCTCGCTCCCACCCCCCTGCACCCTATTCCTCCTCGACCCTCTTCTCCGCCTGTGTCTCCGCGTGCTCCTCCCCCTCTTTATACTCTGCGCCTCCCCCTCATGTTCACCCCCTCCCCCTCCTCTTCCGCCTCCTCCTCCTCCTCCTCCTCCACTTCCTCCTCTTCCTCCTCCTCTCCCTAATTCTGCTTCTTTTCCTCTTCCTCCTCCCCCTCCTTCGCATCCGCGTCCTCCGCCCACTGCTCAATCCTTTTCACTCCCACGGGGCAGATTCAGCGACGGCACTGGCAGGAAGGGAAAAAATACCAGGGCTGCACAGCACAACCACTATGTCTCCAATGACTAACTATAGGAGCACCCGTCGTGGGATCAGGAGATGCTTGGGAAAATGGTCACAGTTTTTGGTTTGCAATTGGCGTCGGATCGGATGCGCGATCTACCAAATTATCGGTTCTGAGATCCCTATAATCGGCCCATACCGCTTTCGGTCGATCCCACAAACAATACATACATACCTACATACCTACATACCTACACACCTACATACCTACATACCTACCTACCTACATACCTACATACATGCATGCATGCATGCATACATGCATACATACATACGTACGTACATACATACATACATGCATACATACATACAGACACACATACATGCATGCATACATACATACATACATGCATGCATACATACATACACACATACACTCACTCAGTCATTCACACATACAAAACATACATGTATGCATGCGTACATAGTATATAGATACGTGCATAAACCATACAGTCATACATGCATGAACATTTGCATGTCTACATACATACCTAAATACATACATGCATACATGCATGCATACGTACATGCAGGCATGCATGCACACACGTACATACGCACACACATACACACATACAAACATACATGCAAACGTATATACATACAGAAAGACGCACGGACAGACATGCATACTGACTAGATCCATACATGCATACATACATGCATTCATACGTGCATACATACATCCATACGTGCATACACACATGGAATCATGCACACATACATGAAAACGTACACACATCACACATGTATAGATATGCCTATGTACACGTACATGCATCCATGCACGAGAACATACGTGCATCAATGCATGTATGCATACATACATGCGTGCATGCATACACACATACATCAAAACAACATGCCTACCTACTGACCTACCGATATACCTGCCTATGGACTTACTGGTCGGCCTACGTGTATACACACCTATATACATGCATACATGCATACATACATGCAAATAGACACACATACATGCATCTATACACACATCAATGTCATACACGCCTACATATATATATATATATATATGAGGGGGAAAAGGAGCGACCGCAACAGCTATCGAGTAACACGTGCACTCCGTGGCAATTCGCGGCAGAGACAGACCAGTGGCTTGATTTACAGCAAAGCCCAGAAGTAAAAAAGCACCGGCGAGAAGGGGAGACCGGAGGAGGAAGAGTGGCGGAGGCCAAGGAAGGGGAAGGAGGGGCGTTACGGCGAAACCTGCTGTGAAAGCCCCAACGGCGGCGGTTGCGACACTTCGGCCGCATTTCGGCCGACGGCGTGCGTTACGACAGAATCCGCCTATTACGCCATATGGGTGGAAGATAGCTAAGCGAATCGGGTGTACAACTGAAGCCTAAGATCCCCAGGCCGGGACCATGAGCGACCACGAATCCTACGGAACAAAGGGCGAGGCTGAACGAGTGCACACACAGCGCACTGAAGCACATTACGATTCAGAAGACCAGATAAAACGGGGAAGGACAGGGGGGAGGAAGAGGGAGAAGAAGGAGGGGGAGGGCAGTCCCGACCTTGCTAAGGGACGGACAAAGGATCCTCAGCAAAGCCTCGGACCCACCTGCAAAAAAAAGAGGGCGAGCAAGAGGGGGAGGGCAGAGAGGAGGGAGGAACGACGGACGACGAGAGAGGGAGGAAAAGGAAGCGAGACAAGAACAATTATCTCTGCCACACTGCGGCCACGATGGCTGCGAGGCCTGGATGCGCCGCGCAGGCCTCCCTAGCAAACTGCCACAATGCTTCCCGCGCGTTGGCGGTTGCTCCGTGGCGCGCTGCGTTGGCCGCCACATAGATGCAGTATACGGACAGCGCCCGTCGTGCGAGAATACTTGCCGTGGCTTCCGAGAAGCGGGGTACAGCAGGAACTCCGACTGTCTCTCCGCCGGCGGTGCGGCGACAAACCCTAATCGGGTGCGCCCGAATTCTGCAATGCACGGGCAATGCATGAAGTGGTGCATGCTGTCCTCTCCCCGCCCGCATTCAAATGGGCATGGCGCAGGCCGTTGCATACGGCGGCCTGTTGCCCAACCGTTGCAAAGGGTACGGTAAGCTGATGCCCAGACCCGCGGGGGCACCAGCCGCGCCAAACCGCGTAGCGCCAACGTCGCTCGCTCAAGGCGGCGGCCAGGAAGCAATGGGAGGGAGAGGCGAGAAAGGCAACGATTGAGATGGCGGGTCGCTCCCTCGCGGCTCGGGTCGGATAGCAGCAGCCGGCACCGTTCCTGCCGGCCTGTCCTCGGGGTCGGCTCCGCCGCGTCGTTCTGCACCAAGGCCTCGACCGATAGGCCTGCAGTGGCAGCCTTCTGTTGCAGCTGAGATTGCGCAGCATGTATGTTGGCGAAAAAGTTGTGGTCGTACCATGTCCTCCAGAAGCCAATGCGCACAACCTGGTCGGACTCCGCGCGGATCGCGCTCAGGGCCCGGAAACGACGTCGCACTTGCAGCCCTCCGCTCGCAATATTTTCCAACGGTGTACCCGGCACTTGGCCGCGAGAGCCGTGCAATGTGCATCTGGTAGCTCCGACGTGAATCCCAACGCCTGCAAGTTGCGGAGAGCCTCCGCGGAGGTCCAACCACGGGGGCCAGGGAAGAGAAACGCACAGGCCTACTGCTCGACTGTGGCCCATGCCGACGGGACGCGATCCAATTGCAGAAGGAAGGAAAGCACAGGAAATATGTAGATACGGTACGCCAAAATAGTAAGAAGCATACCACAACCGATGCCCTTCCAGATCTTCGCGCGCATGAGGAACTTCTCCATTGGCTTGACCCACGAATGCGCCGCGCGTTCGGGGCCGATCACAAAGCCCAGGTATGTTGCGTGCCGACGACTCCAGATGGCCTCTAAGATGTCCATGTTGGCCCAAGACGGCCTCCAAGATGGCCCAAGACCAAGTCCGCCAAAGATGGTCCAAGATGGCCTCCAAGACGGCCCGAGAGAGTCCACGATGCCTTCAAGTTCGTCCAGGAAGCCTCCAAGACTGCCCAAGATGGCTCCAAGAAGACCGAAGACTGGCCAAGAGGCCCCCAAGTGGCATCCAAGACGTCCTGCAGGAAGGCCCGAAAGGGAAAACATCATTGACTGTCCTTCGGTTTCTCAAAGATTGTGGCATCTGTTTTTTTTCGGCCCCCCGACTGCCCGCGACAGCCCAAGCGCCCCCAAATATCGCCCAAGAGGCCCAAGACGGCCCCAAGAGACCCCCAAGATGACCCAAGAGGCTCCCAAGACGCTCCAAGGCATGTTTTTCTTATCAGCGCGCCGACACCCCAAGACGGCCCAAGAGGCCCCCAACATCGTCCCAAGAGCACCCAAGAGGCCTCCAAGATGGCGCCATGACAGCCCAAGAGGCCCCCAAGTGTCAATGATAATGAGTATGAGCCTCTTTTCCACGAGCTGTAAGATCCGCTCGGTCGATCAATATGAACTGGTGCCAGTCGCACCACACGCACGCAGCTGATGAAATCTGGGAAACCCCAATCAAAGACTGGAACACATCTGAAAACTTGTTATCGCTGTCTGGCTCAAAAAGGGGATCCCCTGATATCGTTTGAGAAGCAAACGGCCATGGAAACGCAACGTGGCATATTATGCAACATAAAGCTCCTCAAGCCCTTGAAAAGGGTGTTCATCATGCAGATCCACATGGGGGTGGCGTCGACGGGGGGGGCGAAAGTTGAGCGCGCCGTCCGGCGCGAGATGATCTTTATCTTCCTCGGAGGGTGCCCATTGCGCGCGAGTTTTTCACCGTCGCGGTGCCCATGTTGCAGTTTGGTGATTGGGCGGGCTTCGTGACGGCCGGCTTCGTGCTCGGGCGAAGCGAACAGGTTTGGGGCGCGCGCGCATAAGCGTTCGAGAGCGGTCGTCTGGCATGGCCCTTGTCCTCGCGCGAAATGATGCGCCATTAAAGTCGCGCTCTCGAATGATCCTTAGAATTGGCAGTGGATTGCATGGCTCATTTCCGAGGAGTCGCGCAGCGCGCCTAAATCTTGAAGGGTGCCACCTTCTTCAGCCACTACTGGAGGGCGCGGGGCCGCGTCGCGCCGGGGCCCCGGATTTCTTGATCCCAGGTCAAGGCCCATCGTACTCTATACGACGCGTTCTCTGAGCAAGGCCGCGTCTGAATCCTCGTAGCTAGAATGGCACACGATGTAATGAGACAACGTCGCGGGGGCGCATGGTTTGACCCTGCTGCTCGTTTAGACACCGCCCCCGCTATCTTCATGCTTCTGGTGTTCGCGACTGGTGCGGGACGGGTGCATGCTAGCGGGCCCTTTCACGAGAGCACTTTGGCCCCCTGTCCGAGGCCCCTCGCACGCCCCTCCCCGCCCCGTTGCCCCCCGCGAGCCCCTGCCTGGGCAGGCCAAGGTCATCGCTGCACCTCGCGTTCAAAGCGCATCGCCTCTTACTGCTGTCGTCGTTGCCCAGGGGGCGGGGGGAGGCAGGAGGAGCGAGGAGGAGGGGGGAGGAGGGGAGCGGGGGGGAGGAGGGAGGGGGAGGAAGGATGGGGGGCGAGGAGGGAAGAGTGGACAGCGGAGGAGGGAAGAG